TGAAGCAAACAGCTGTTCTCTTTTACCTTATGTTAAATGTCTATTTAAAGAATTTCTTTTTTCTCATGCCTGGACCTTTCTTTAATTGGATGCCAGCCAATTTCCATTTCTCTACCTCCCAGCCTGCTGATGTTCTCTATGCTCTCATTTTATTTTTATACATACACACACATATACATATGTATATACGTATGTATGTATATAATCTAAGCCCTTCAGGCTTAGATTTGGCAATAACTGTTTCATTGTGGTTTAGTTTAGTTTTGTTTTTAAATCAGAGAATACTGAAACACTTGGCAGCACCGTCAGAGATAAAAAAGGTCGCTCTAGGCTACCCCGGGGAAAGTTTGCACGTTCATTGCTGATCTCACCAAGCAAGCTGGGCATGAAAATCAAGAAGCCTGAAGCTGTCACTGTTCACATGGTTACACATGGTCACACATGCATACTTATGTTAAAATTTGTATTTATTCACTTTACAAATATAACCAGTAATACTCAGATAATGTAAGTAATATGTAAGCAATACTTACTTACTTACACTCCCCACTTGAGAATCTCCAAAAGCTTTATTAATGTAAATCAGAAAGTAGGATAGCTAGAAACAAGAACGTGCAAATGATACGAAGTATCCAAACGATACCTCTACTAAGAAATTTGCTGGTAACATATCAGACATAACTGCCCATTCTTGATCTCACATAGGGAAGGAAAATCCACTGGAAAAAACAGTTAATATTTGCCTGCATTACCTTCAACAATATTTTGCTTTCAAAGAGTGCCATTATGTTTGCTTTCTTTTTTAATCCGATGGACTGGTTTAGGAAAAGGAGAACGAACAATTGGAAAAAAGTGGAAGCCCAAAGCATAATATAAGTTTAAATTATATTGCTTTACTGGTATTTCCTTAGAATCACATACCATTATGCAAAGTCTTTTGGTAATGAAATAACACAATTTCTATGAAAGCTAAAAACATAGGAAAACATAAATATGCATTTTCACTTTCTGACAATGCATTTAAAAAGCCATTTTTTCCCCTCTTTTTTTTTTTTCAATCTTCACTTTGTTATTTTGGACTTCAAAGGTCTTTTAGGAATAGGCATACTTTTTCAGAGGAACTTTTGCAAGTATTTGAGAGAGAAACATTACAAATACAAACATGCCTTAAGGACTTTATTTAAATCACTTACTTTAATCTATCATACTTATCTGGTTGGTTGTTAAGATTCATAATACTTATTACCCATTACAGAATGTTGTAGGATAAAAAATTCTGAATATCCTACACAAACATATAAACACAGGTATGTGAGCATCTTAAACCCAAACCAAATTTCAGCCCTTAAACAAAGTAAGAGTAGTGAACAAAGTACTTTTGTACTTCTATGTTTGCATTTTTATCTTTACAATTAATATTAAGCACTGTCCTGGTTCAACCCCAGCCAGTAACTAAGCACCAAAGAGCCACTTGCTCACTTCCCCCTGGTGGGATGGGAGAGAGGATCATGAGGGTAAAAGCGAGAGAACTCAGGGGCTGAGGCAGACAGTTCAATAAGTAAGGCAAAAACTGCACATGCAAGCAAAGCCAAACCAGGCATTCATCCACCACTTCCCAAGGGCAGGCAAGCGTTTAGCCTTCTCCAGGACAACAGGGTGACTTGGGAAGACAAATGCCATCCCTCCAAATGTCCTCCTTTCTCCTTCTGCCCCCAGTTTTACATGCTGAGCGTGACACCATATGGTCTGTAATATCCCTTTAGTCAGTTGGAGTCAGCTGTCCTGGCTGTGTCCTCTCCCAGTTTCTTGTGCACCCCCAGCCTCCTCACTGGTGGGGCAGCACAGAAGCAGAACAGGCCTTGACAGGATGCAAGCACTGCTCACATCAGCTCTGTATTATCAAATCGTTTTCAGCACAAATCTAAAACATACCACCATACCAGCCACTGTGAAGAAAATTTAACTCTACCCCAGTCCAAACCAGAACAGGTGCCAGTTAATTTGGATTCCAATTGCGAGCAACTAGTCTATATCTTGAGGACATTCTACAGAGTTCAAGAGTCTTCTGGACTTACAGTGACATAAATTATGTTGGAAATTTGGGTCAAAGATTCAAAGATTTTTTTTTTCTTTCAGAATAACCTCAAGGCCTTTTACTAACATTGTTTCAAAGTAAAATAAATATTTACTGTTTCTGATACTCTGTCTCAAGCCAACTGATGCAAGAAGAGAAGAGTGTGGTTTAGAAGCTTGTTACATATCTTAAGTGATATAATAATACTTGTATGCTTTGTAGACTGTATTATGTGTTTCCTTTTCCATCTGCTTTTATTTGTATTAAAATATATACATGCAAAAGAAAAAGAAACTAAACTCAAGGTTGTTTTTGGTTATATTGATTCCTCATAAACTTCAGTAAAATAAAATGTAGACTTATTGCCAGGATAATTTTGTTCTTCTTTTTTTTGTATAAGATTGCTTGGACTGTTTCCAATTTAAAAACTAGACTTTATTTCAGAGTTTGGTAACTATCACTGAGGGTTTATTCAATTCACTAATGTTCACTCTTGAATAAAAACATGAAATGTTTATCTAAAATAAGATCATGAGTTTGTTTGTCATAATTTGTATCTTAAAGAAAGTCATGGTCAGTGACAACTACAGCTTTGTCACACCATCTTTTCTTAACACAAACATCTCTGGTTGTTAGATCACAAAAATTTCAAAAGGATTAAATGATTGATTTTGAACAGCATTGTGTGCCATCTTTGGGTTTAGCTCAGCCCATGTGTAAACAGGCTTAGCATTGTCATTGAGAATTACACCCATTTATGCCAGGGATTAACATGCCAGGGTCTCTCCCTCTGAAATCACAGCTCCATTCTAAAGATGCAGCTTCTTGCTACTGTTATTTTCAAGCAAATGCACAATTAACTACAGGCTGCACTGGTAGTTTGTGGGGATGAAGATTAAACCTGAAGTGAGCACAGAAGATTCAACTGTGCTCCACTTCAGAGTAAAAACTGTTTCTCTGAGGGATTGTCACCCACATGCAAGTGCTGGAGTGCAAACCTCCTCCTTGAAATGCCTCACACTGCCTTTTCACTTCTCCACCCACCACTTGTTCTCATACTCTCACTGTTGAGTGTAATCAATGTCATTGGAAGCTAAGCTGCCCAATTCCTCAGAACAACATCTGACTACTGCGCTTAATAGCGAATGTAGCAAACAGAGCCATTACAAATGGCAAAGCTTTTCCTAGTGTAGAATAAAAGACTAGCGGTAAGTTCCGTTTCTCTAACCCCATCTGCTAAATCCTACACTACACAACAATCCTTTTATTCAAGTTAAAAGATGCAGCTTCTCCATTTAAAGAGCACTTGTTATCTCAGAGGAAATGGAGGCCAGAGTGTGCCTGACACTAAAAGAAAAAATTAGTGTTGTCTCTGCAATGAGACCCTCCAAAACAGCCAGTCTCACCCAAGCATAATAAATCAATTGTGTGCTCTTTTAGCAAACCAATTACTTTTATTCTTCGGTTTTTGACTTGTCCACGTGCCAGTTTACAATTGTAAGTGACAGGGAAGTGTGGTAAGACTGACGTCTCTCTTCCTTTCTCAGGCACTGAGCTGAATTCATCATTCTATATAAAATACTAACTGCTCTATGATTGCTACAGGACTACATGTCATACTAATTAGTACATTCTCTTTTTTTCCTACTTTTTCCCCCTCTATCTCTTCTTAATTCGATAACTGTGTCTATTAGACCCGTTCTGTATTTAGGCTTGTTCTCCAGCACTGCTGCTGAGCAATGTTAGGACCTCACAAAAAGTAACGAGAAAGGTTTTAGGATTGTTGTTTGGTTTTGATGTGTTTGGTTTGTTTTTTAACTGGAGGTATTTTAAAATCTTTAACAGTAAATATGCAAATTTTCCCTTTCACACATATAAAAATAAAAATGGAAAAATCTAATACAACTCATTTTTGGTAACTCACCAATCTTTTAGCCTCATGAACATTGTGATTCCTTGTGTTTTTAAGGGTACGTTGCATACATTTATCAATGTAGGTTTGTTGCCTGCCAACTTGACTAATTTACCTTGCTTTTTGTATAATGTGAAGGTGTAAACTAGACCATCTAAATACTAAAATGTAATATTATACGCCATTTGCACACTGTCTACCATTCATTTCCCTAACATGTCTTCATATGAAAATTCCTAGACACATGGAAAAATTCCACTATCTATTTTTACTGCATTTTTTTTCCCTAGCTTAACAGGACACACTACAGAGAAGACTATACACTGGATTTATGCAGTAGCTATAGAGCATTCTATTTTTACATCATACTTACAGATTTTAACATTTTGGTTGTTTTTATAACTAGCAGCATACACTAAGTCTGTTTTTTTAATGAACTTAAAACTTCATTTAGTATCAATACACTAGGAAATAATAATCTAGGAATGTCTAGATTATTCTTAATTTAATTATTTATTAAATTGTATATGTCATCCGTGGGTTTTAGCCATTATTAAGCTAATTCACTTGCTTTCTTAATCTTTCATGTTCCCTTCAAAATTGTAGTAACCCGATCAATAAAACATCATCTGAAAATGAGACTATCTCATTGCTAAATTCTTTTTCACAGTTGACAAGATGTCTTTGTCTAACATTATGTATACAAAGCTTCAGAACATGGCTATTAGCTTTAGTATTCTTGACCTACATTATACCTCAAATAAGCTAAATTTTCTGCCCCTTGGCTAAGTGCTCCTCTGCAATAGTGAGTATTTTAAAATAATAAAGCCTATCCTGCTATTTTCCCTTAAGTTTTATTTCTAGTTTATACAAATTTGTTTTAAGTTCTGTTGAACAGATGCAAGTATAACAGAAACTGATATGGGGAGGCACTTCAATGTGATAATCTGCAGATATGATCTTGATTTAAATGGGACAACATCAGAACATATGGAGTAAATTTAATTGTTCTACCTTGATTGAACACAATCAGGATGGAGACACTTCTGTTATTCTTTTGTATTTGCTTCCCAGGAGGTTAGGAATGTAGCTTCTGTCACTATGGGGTTCTACTTGAAAGAAGGTAAAAACATTGTTCCCTAAGGAAAAAGCAAAAGCAGGTGTATCATACACTTGCCTGCACTGTTGCAAACAAGTGCATAGCACAAACTACAACAAATGAAACATTCCATCATTTTAATGAATTGAAATAGATTGTGCACATATGGATGAAAGATAAAACCTGTAATATTCCACCAAGATGTGAAAATACAGTACCACTTGGAAGAATAAAAACTTTGAAGATACATCGTTCTACCTCCAATCCTTACACCCAGTTTCTTTGTTTACCCAGATTTCACCCTATTTCTGTGACAGATAGGCCCCTTTTTCTTCTTGCCTCCACCATTTCATCCCACTCATTTCTAGGCCCAGTGTTCTCACCCTGCCACACTGCCACTGTTACATATCTTCTCCATATATGGTGCCCATGGATTTCTGTTCCTCAGTTCCCTGTTCCGTTCTGCATCTCGTTCTTTCTGGTGAGTCTATCCAAGCTTCCTCTTATCCTAGTTCCCAGAGGAAACACTCACTCCTTCTCTTGTTTGCCTTTGAGCCGCATCTTCATTTTCCTCCCTTCCTGCATGTATGGCTCTTGCTTTCAAACCAGACAATTCTCCTTTTTTAGTTGCTTGGTACTAGCAAAGGGTGAAGGATGGTCACCCCAAAGTCCAGTCCTTGTTTCAAACATGTAAAGAAGTCTACACACACTGAAAGGCAAAGTGACCTGTATTATTAACAATAGCAATGTTTAATATTTTTATAATATGTATAAAGGGTTTATTTCCAAGGTTGTTCAACCACCCATTATGAAGACTCTATGGAGAAGATATAGTTTATATATGAACTGTCTGTTATCACAGACAGAGTGCTCACGTTCAAGGCTGGGATGCACGGGGCTTTGAGCAACCTGGTTTAGTGGAAGGTGTCTGTGCCTGCAGCAGGGTGGTTGGAACTACAGGATTTTCAAGGTTCCTTACAACCCAAACTGTTCTATGATCCTATGATATTTGATCTAAAATAACTAAAAAAATGCACCCAACACCACTGTATAGAATTTGGCATCTTTATAATTCATTGCATTCACACAAAAACAAAAAGCAGAAGGAAATAAAACTCTCTTGCTTCAATCCTAGCAATAACTCAGCCAGCAAACTTTACTGTATATAGCTCCTGTGAAAACTGCTTAGATGTCCACTATGCACAAGAAAAAGGAAATAAGCCGTATGTCAACAGATCAAAGAGTACAACGGAACAGTGAATGAAGTTCACACTACAAATGAAAATGAAGTAGCAAAATTTACACTAAGTGATATCCACTGGCGTTTAATACAAATTTTGGGGTTGTTAGTTATAAATTTTTAGTCATTATTAAACAGCAGAATCAGGACATTAGCTGAGCAGTTTCCAAGACAACAAACTTTTCCCTAGTGTTGCTAGAGTTTCTGCTGTCTCCTCATCAGACCTGCATTTTGGTTGTCTTTCAGAGTCTGTGGATTTGTAGATATGGCACAAGAACTTGCCTTGGTTTTGCTGAGAAAAAACCCAATCTTCTTTTATATGAGCTAATTGTTATTGACTAGATACTTCAAAATTAGTGTACAAAAAGGTTGGTTGCTTTCTTTATAGCTGTCTTACACTTGCTTCAAAACTAAGAAAAGTCTAGACCAATAAGTACCCTTCTCAAGTGGCCATGTATATAAATGTAATACAATACCAGTGGAGATGGGCAAAAAGTACACACTATTGAGAAAGCAAGACAAAGCCAATGAAGCCAAAGCTCAATTCTAATAAGATTACCTTTCTCTAATTGCCATTAGGAAGTCATGCTGAACAAAAAAAAAAAATTAGAGAAAATTTGCAATTATAAATTAAAATGTTTTTATAGAATGAGTACTTCTATAAGTTAATTTTAGGTACGTATCTGAGTAAAGAAATAACTTTAGATGTCAAAAGTGAAACTTAAAGCCTTTTTCTAGACTGGGCACATTTGGTTGCAATAAACTAATTTCTTTTTTCCTCCAGAAATTAATTAACAATAAGACATTTTAAACTGCACTTCCTATATAGTTTTCTGCATCTCTTTTCTTTTTTTTGACAATGCTGTAATAGTAGTTTTCCCAACTAATACAGATAATTTGAAAATATTTTAAAAATATGTCCTTGATTAAGCTTTTTGAAAACTGAAATGTCATGAAACCAAAATACTGAAAGTCTTACTCAGATTCAGAAGTTCTTATTGGGAATGATGTCTTTTTCCATTTCCACTCCCCTTTTATGAATCTTACGACTGTTCAGACAGCGGATATTCTACATTTACCAATAGTAGCTGATCTTATTACTTCTAAAGTAGGCACCATTATTCTCAAAGAGACAGCCAATATTTATTTTTCAAATTGTAGAAGAGAAACAATTTCGCTTAAGGCCATTCAAAATTCAGGTTTTGGTTTCTTCTGATGTCACATTTTTGTTAAACTAACAACATAGCATATTAAAGCCTTCCCAAAATCAACATATCCTTGTGAGTGCCAAAGTAAACATTATATTAGCCCTTACACATGGAAAATCTACGTCACATACATGAGTAAGACTGCATGATGCTCAGGAGCTTATCACCATCACCGGCCGTAGAAAATTCTACAAGTGAAAACGATTTGCATTATACTAAGAGCTCTGTATATTCAGAAATCACAATTATTAAACAGGGTAGCAACATAATTAAAATATAAGCAGATATTTATTTGTATTTCCCATGAAGACTACTATAGTCTTTTAAGACTTAAGGCTTAAGCTGTGTTTTAACCTTTGATTTACACCACGAGAGTTTTATTGCTGGTTACAACAATGCCATTGCTAACCAAAGCTTCCTGAGTCTCTTAATTCATCAAACAGTGTCTTATGGCAGTTTAGAATATACCAAAGATGCAGGATCAGATCCTACCTTCCAACTCCCTTTCTTGTACCTTATTCTTGAAACAGATCTGGGTTTATGGAAATAAAGCAGGTCTCTCATCCTGTTAAAGACGATGAAGCTACTTGATATCCATGTTTAGATAATTGGGGTTTTTTCTACAAGATAATCAGTTCTACTTAGCTTAGCAGCTAACAACTTGAAAAAAAAAAAATCAGTGGTTGTCAGCTCTGACATGTTTACCCTTCAGACTAAAACAAAAGCAAGAAGAAACTTTGAGAGTGTCACTGTATTAATGGCACTCAAAGCTGCATGTTATAGGTTACATGCATTCCATACCCTTTTTGAAAGAAGAGATTTATTTTATTCATTCACCTGTTTCTTGTCCTCTCCTTGTGGCTAAGTGATTTAAAATTACATTTAAGTAGCAGAAGTGGCATCTTTAACTACTAGCTCTACAGCCTCAGTATCCTGTTCTGCATTTGAAAACAGTGTTTGCATTTTGGTTTTCCTCTTAAAAGCATTTGAAGTACTACCGTAGCCCTGTCCTTTACTGTCTCTCCACCCGGTCGATACAAAATATTTTGTTTTCTTTCTAATATTCAATCCCTAAGAAAGCAACTTCTATCTGTAAATGACAAAAATATCTCAGCTGCCAGGTAGATTACCATTTTAGTGTGATTACATTACCCTATAACAATAACAATAAAATGTACTCTGGACTACTGTTTTTGCTCCTCGCTCTAGCATATCTAACATATCATAAAAATAATGTTTGTATTTATCCAGACAAATATTAACTATTTTTTTCAGCACTGTTTTGGCATTCTGGTAGTTCTTTTCTACATGAAACATGTTCAGTTTACAACCTACGCACTTTGAATATAATATATGTGTCACTAAGGTGTTACAGAAAGCTGAATTTGGCATGTTCCTCATGAGCATGTAGATGAAAAGTGGACATTTCAACAGCACAAGTCAGTCACAGTGGAGGACACCAATCACTGACTAGTATGATACATGTGCGTGTCACATGCAGTTAGTGTGGAATAATTACTTACATGCAAAAAAGAAAGAGAGTTTGTCTTCATTATTTATGCACCAAAAAATTCCCTCAAAAGAGGAAACACAGTTGCAAGACACACAGTGGTTAAAAAAGACATGACTCAGAAATTAACACACTGCAGCTTGTAGTAACAGTGAGAAGAGATATTCTGTTTCTCTAAATCTCTGAAAAAATCCTGCTTCAGTCTAAAACTTTTTACATATTGTGAATTTCAACATGAATGAGATATATACTTATTGACTATACCCATTCCAGGAAGTAGAATAGTGCCTGGTCACAATTATGAAAAGATTAATGAATATCCCTTTATTGCATATAAAGCAGAAGTGAGAAATGGCCTTCCCCACCACCACCCCAGATCTTTCTCACACGTATTTATTTATAAAGAAAAGAAAGTTAGGGAAAAGGTTTTAATTTTCAGTTCAATATATTTATCCTTTTCAGTGGCTAACACAACGTTTACTGGAAATATACGTACTCCAATTTGCTTCTGTTTCTGGAGTTCATTGCTGTACTACATTTCTGGAGTACAATTATTTATAAGAGTGCCTTTTGGTTGTTTCTTCAAGATTATGCAGAGACAGCAACGGTTTCTGGAACTTGCTTTGTATCCAAACTCGCTGCATTTTCACTTTTTTCTTCCTGTTTACTTGTAATCGCCGATCAACTAAATTCTGTACTTCAGTTAATCCAGCCAAGTTGAACATGTTCCATACCTCATCTATTTTTTCATAAGAAGAATTATTGCAATTAAAAAAAAAAAGGTAATTTGTAGAATGTAGCAATTAACAACCTTCAGTTCAACCAAATGGAACTAAATCTGTTTTGCAATATGAAAGATCAAAGACACTGCCTCTAAGAAGTCTTTTATTAGAAATTCATTCTCACAGCTCTTGATTTACATTGCAGTAAAAATTCTTATGTTGAGGCCCAAACCACATTGGTTATTACTCATGGCACCCATAGAGACTCTTTTTTCAGAGGGTTCAATATGCCAGAGTTGAGTAAACAAATGCCATTTGGTCACTGTTCACCTATTACACCCAGATAAAGCTATTGCACCTGCCAAATGACAATCCAGACTTTTATGCCTTATATATATATGTGTGTGTGTGTGTGTGTGTGTGTGTGTGTATATACACATGTATATATATGTGTGTATATATATATATGTGCATACACACACATATACATTTATATTAAATATATGTAATTAGTTCCTTCTTGTCAGTCATCACTGGAAAACCTTAAGCTTCTTTGTCTTAAGGAAGCATGAAACATATTTAAAAACTGAGAAGGCTCTTTAAATTCAAGTGATTTCCTATATATGTCTCAGATCCTTCTTCTCACTTCTAAAATTACTAAGGCTGGGATAAATCCTGATCCATCTCTATTGCTTACAGTCGAGGTTGCAGAGGGTAAAAAGAAAAAGAAAAAAAAAGTATTGTGATGCTCACTTTCACAATTTCACAATATACCAGTCTAAGCTGTCTGCCAGCTGAACCAAGTGAGTGGACAGGCAATGAGGAATAGTATACATAAGCAGCAACTGAAGTTTAGCTCCTGTATAAAGAGCAACCTCACAGTTCAGATTCACCAACATGGCATAACAAAACATCAGAGCACTGCTACAAATTCTCCTTCCAAGCATGTTTATCTCAATTTTAAGAGAGAAATCATGTACATATTTAAATAACAAAATTTGAGCATACCATTAGACACAGGACACTTAGATAAAGAGAAATTTCCAGTGATGTCTTTAAGCCATCTTGCAAGACCCCAAATGCAACAAGTGTACATATAAAGGAAATTATTCTCTTACAATAGTTAGCTTTGGTCTTTTTAAAAGCAGAGAATTTAAAAAAGCCAATAAAACCTTCTTTAAATTTTTGTTTAAAGATAAGCTTTTATAATTCAATCTTGAGAGAAATTTAACTCTTTCTATGAAACTATAACTTTCCATACCTTTGGTAAAGAAATACACTCTGGTTCCATCTCCTCGTACATAAAAATTTTCTGACAAGCAATGACCTAGGAAATTGGGACAGTAATGCAAAAGGACATGTCACTTTTTTTTTTGCAGAAAGTTAAAATGAACAATGAACTACAAAGCCATTCAGGAATTACCTTTTTTAAAACGAAGTTGAGCTGTATCATATCTTCCATAGTCTCGAAATAACAACATTCCTCCAGGTTTCAGTAGCTTAGCCAACCTATTTACAACCCCTTGCATCCTTAGAAAATAGATGGGATACTGTTGATATTTGCCAACATAAGCAACCAAGTGTGCTGCCACAGACAGAAAAGGCAGCACCACCTAATAATAAGAGACACTTCAAGACGGGTAGTTGTGCCCAGAATTACAAACTTTGCCTATGTAAACTTAAGTTTTGTGCACAAAGGAAAAAATGTACATGCATAAAAAGTGAAAGTGCTTTGAGAAATCTCATCCAGCAGAACTAGAAGACATCAAATATATAGCTTGAAGAAAGTTTAATACCTTCCAATTCTGCAACCAAATCTTAGAGGTGCCTTCTAGCAGAACTGAAGCGTGTTAAAAATTTACTACAAGAGTAGCAATTATCAAAAACTAAGCACAACAGCCCGAAGAGAAATCACTAAGTAACAATTTTCTGAATATAAATGTGTTCCTCTCACATAAATTTTCCATCTTTCCCAAGTATGTAAGTTCTGCATCACAGTTCCCTTGGTTTTCTTTTTCATTTCTCACTTTCAAAGTTTCCAGAAAAAATGTATACTGGGCAAGATGAATCTGGATCACATTTTCCTTTATGCAGTCATTTTAATTCTACGAGATGGCAGTAATGACTAACACAGCTTTGGAAAGTGGGTCTCACAATACAGATAATTACACGGAAATTTTTATGTGTGTATACACACACATGCACACAAAAGCATCCATGTCAGCCCTGGGAGAAAAAACACAACCAACAAACCACAAAAAAACTCAAACACATTCTTAAAAGACTAATAGGAAAAGACACACAGAAATACGCAGAATACTGCTTCTACAGGCAAAGTAATTGATTTAATGAATGAAACACTATTTTCCAATATCTTTGTGGCAGCATCATGGCAGTCACAAAGATCTGAAGTCTACTGCTTGAATTGTTTCTGGAATCTGGACCCTGGCTTTGCACAACTTGTGCTCATCTCTGAACAAACAAGAAGGAGCAGTATCATATATGGGAAAGGGTTTCTGTAAAGCTAATCATTAGTAACTTAAGCAGAGAAACAGTTCTCAGACTTAGGCAAATACTGTTCTGTTTGCCAAGCCCATTTTAATGACATTCTTAGTGTAGTAAATGTATTATCACACATACAGTATGTATTTCCCTTCATATAATCCAGTTAAAGGACGAGTCAAGCAGTTTAACTTATGCCCTCCTATACATTTTTCCCATCAAAAAATGAGATTTTCACAATCAGCCAACCATAACAGTCATAAAATTTGGTTCATTAGACATAGAGAGGCATTAGCAAAGGCTAACAGTACCCAACATAACACTATACGTGAAAATTAGATCAAATTTTCTTAATCCAAACAAGTTAAAAAATTCTGGATGCATTTTGGTTTAAAAGGCCTGCATGTAAGCATTGTATGTGGCTAAATCAGCAACCTAAGTCTATATCAACATATTGCAAGCTGTTAAGTCATGAATGTTTAGTTTTGATCACTAAAAATGACTTCCTTCTAGAAGACTAGTCCGGTTTTTATTTTGCAGTTTTTTTGAATCCCTCACTTCTAATAGGGTTGTGTTTAGTTACAATATACTACTTGTATTTTTATGGAGACTAGAGACTCACTAATGAATTAGCCTGACAAGCTTCTCTCTTGAAGCCTGAAAATGGAAAACAGCATTTAAAATACCTTGTTTTATACATATTGTAGCTTACTAAGTAATAAATTAAAGATTCATCATCTTCTTTTGCTATTCTTGAAAACCTCCAGTGGAAAGAGAGATTTAACCCATTTGCTTTGCCCTTTAGTCTTCATTTACCTGTCAGGATGAATAGTAGAGAGCACAAAGACAAGGAGAATGACATCCAGGATCTCATCTGGAAAAGGATAGGGTAAAGCGTCATCACACACATCATGAACAAAGGCAGAACACCAGGCTGAATTGTAGGACGAATGTGACTGTCAGAAAAAAGATGAAAAGGGGCACAGAGAGAACAGTAGTAGTTAATACGTTTACTGTGACTCAAGAAACTTTTTTTCTTCAATTATTCTGCATTGTAAAACATCTCATATAAAAGCCTATTCTGTCTGGTATCTTACTCAAGCTGAGAAGCAAGCTCACTGATGGTATTCATTCCTCTCTGCATACAGTACGACTTTGTTCTTTGGAATATTGAAAACTTCAGTTAAAAGTTGTCAAAGCCATCACATTCTTTTTCATGAAGATGGCTTCCTGGCAGCCTCCTGAATTACGGGCTTATAAGGTACTCTAAAGCGAGCATATGAATTACCTTTACCAGCTCCACTGCTCCTGAAGCAAAATCACAACAGTATAGAAAGGTTCCAGGTGTATTGCTAAGAAAACAAAAGCAACATCAGTTAAAAAATTATTATTGTAAAAGATGAAAGTCTACATCAGTGTTCATGGAACTACAGAGGGCCCTTTGGGGTTCTCCACAGGTTTGATCAAGCATGCCTTATTGATGTCTAGCACGTGGAAAGCCACATAGGCTGTAATGAACCAACAGGGCAGACAAATTTGTAAGAATACCAACAGGCAGTTAGTATAAAAAGAATTAGAGCCTTGTCAGGGAGGAAGCAAAAAGGAAAAGAAAGAAGGTCACAGAGGGCTGTCAGGACTGATGACAATGTCCTGGTGCTGTAACGCATAAATGCACGTTAATAGGTCACGTTTTCTTACAGAAGCACTGCATTAAGTCTCTATCATGCAGTTTAATTAGCTGTATGATTTGGGTAGGGGTAGGGTGTTGCAAAAATCATCCAGTTCTGTAGATGTTTGGGTTTCCATGTGTCACCTTGCTGTGCTTTTGATTAGATTAAGTAGTATTGGTTGTTTCCCTCCATTATCCCTTTTGTTTTGTAAGCCAGGATAAATAAGAATTTCCTGTAGCACTCTTTTCTCTTTCCTTCCCATCCAAGACTAAGCCAGTTGCAAATTTCCTTGTACCATTTATCATATAATAGTAATTCTAGGAAGAGGTTTTTTTCACCTCTGAAAAATTCATTTAATATAAACTGAGCAAGCCACTCAAAACCCACTGAGGGATGACCTCATGATCAACTCACGATCAATTAATTTCTTTTAAAAACATATTTGAGATTTTGGACGGATGGCTTCTTTAGAAGGGAATCAATAAACTCTGTCAGTGCCTATAAGATCTCACAATATACACAGCTGAGTTAGTGACTTCTCTGAGGGCTCAACAGGAGAAAAATTCTGGAACAAAATATACTCTGTGCTCACTCCCCAGCAAAACTTTTATCAGCTCTGTGCCCATCATGAGAATTGATGAATTTAGATATTTATTAGAGACAATGAGAAGCAGCTAGGCTTTGGACCCAGCTAGTCCCTTGGGAAAGGTTACGCTGATTTCCTAGTTGACTTGTTAGAATGTTATTTCTTTTTTTTTTTAGAGCAGAATAGGAGCTATGTAGAAAGTCAACCTAAAACAAAGACACAGCTTGATCTGGATGGTGTTCTCATGATGCATTGTATTAAAAAGCAGCAACTTAAATTTTAAGGGAGGCAGGGGGAAGCAGTTTTAAAAGCTACATTACAAACCTAAGTGAAAATTTTTTTTGTAGCCAGGGTACACTGGCTTCTTTTTATATGCATACAAAAGGCAATTTCTGTATTATTAAATTCAGAGTAAAAGCAAGTGTTCTATAAAGCCAGGCCTACTAAAAGGTAAGAGATGTTTCCACTCAGTCATATACAAGACAAATGAGGTAGTTTTTCAGTGTATCAACCGATGTGATCGACTGAAGGATTTGCATAAAAATAGAGATCACCAGGAAAAATATCCAAAGAGTAGATTCTTAATTATCAGAAATGCCAATCTATGACTAATGCCTCCTGTGAGGAAAACATAAAAGTTTGTCTCATCTTTTCTAATACAGCTACAGGATATCTTTTCCTATACAGTGCTACTTTTCAAAGTTTTCATATGAAACAGGGCTCCCCTTTCATTACATGCTGTCTAAAGTAAAGCATTTCCTGTGGGATGAAGATGCATTGCTATCACAGGTTTCATGGATGACCCTGGTGCATCACTTGATTCCTCCTGCTGTGTTTCCATATCTGCAAAATGGAATATTTTTGTATAGTGGTGATACTAGCAATAAAAATTCAGTTGCAGAATAATGAACTGTTCTGTACTCAAACTCTTGAAGGCATGACTAAAAAGAAATCTATTTCAACCCCTGATACATACATAGTCTTTCCAATAAAACCTTCCTGCCTACATGGATGGGAGGACAAGCTGTCATAACAGTTTTTTCTAAAACTGGAAGCTAAGTGGATTAAGATGTTTCAGTGAATTAAGTAATGCAATACACGACTTGTGCCTTCCCTGACACTAAAACCTGAGGCAATGTGACAAAGTACACCAGCCAATTCAGAAACAATGCAACTTCTTTCCAGTAGATCACATGCCATTATCTACTGTCTCTGATTTTGGCCTTTTTAAGAGATACCTGGTAGCTTCACAGTGACATGTAAGACAAGAGAATATTTTGCCTGCCTGAGATTAACTACAAGAAATCAGCCTGAATGAACCTGAAGACAAAATTGTCAGCGAATATGGTCTCCCCAAGACCAAGATTAAGTGCTACCAACATTATCTGTGGTCTGGGCACAGTAAGAATTTCAGGGCTGTAAAATGATCCACTCAACACTTTCCGCAGCACTAGTCTAGCACCAAAATTTGGAGAAAATTAAGAAGATGAGAACACAACTCTTATATTTGAAAATCCAACACTACGTACCATAGAACTTCCAAAATAGGAAAGACGCTGTTTCCAGCTCCACAACCAACCTAAAACCAGAAGAGAAACAAAGTGAAAATAAATAAGCAAATAAAACCTTTTTTGTTATTTTTGTCTTAAATTAGTTGGCACGTAGGACCCATGAAGGTATGTTGGACAGAAAAGGTATAAAGAGCTCATACCACAATTCTCAAATAATTTATATGATCATGTTTCTCCTCAATGTCTTTCTAAAGTTGAGAGAATCCATCTCTCAAACTGCATAAGAAAATGCAATATTCTTGTCCAATTTCACCATTTGGCAAGAATACGTCAACTACTTGCACTTTTAGACAAAGCACTTGAAAATATAAGTTTCCTTAGGAAATCAGAAACCCAACTTTCAATGACAATGGAATCTGATTATCTAGCCCTATTCTGATTTGGGAGAAACTTCAAAGGAAAAACAAAGTCCATATGCTAGGTTTCTGTGAAAGTTTCTGCCATAAATGAATATAGTATGTTAAATGCTCTAAATTCTAAATGCTCACTTTTTTGATACTCACTAAGCATGTTTATCAGATTTTTGAGCAATTAAGTGGAGTTCTATATGATGAGTAGAACTTTTGCAGTGCATTACCTCTAATATTCTATAAGTGGCATCACTTCCAGGGAAAGATTCTAGCCTGTCAAGTTCTTCTCCACAATTTTTACCCTGAGGATTTTCACTAATTGTTTCTGCTTTGTTTTTATTATATACACATCCCTGTACAGCAGTAGAACCACCTCGATAATTTTTCTTCCAGTATTTTTCTCCTTCATCAAACATTTCATTTTTGTGTGAAAAACTGTTGGTACTATTTATTTTTCTGTGTTCTGAAGATCTTTCTTCTCTTCTCAATTCTTGTCTCTTTTCTTCTGGAAGAATTTCTGGAAATTCCAGAAATAGCCAATTACGATCCTTGAAAAAGTTATTTTTATGGGTCTTGTAAAATTCATTCCAATATTTACTGGCTTCTCTCTCATATTTATCTGAAATTAAAAGAGAACAAAACCTTGGTGAATATAAGCTTAGCTACAAAATACTCTAAAGCAACATGGAATTTAGACCTCAAATATACAGTTTAAAAACCCATGGTTCCACAGGTTGTACTTTTAAATTAAAATATATAGATTTTGGATTTACCTTAATCTGTGCTCAAAAATATTCCTATGAAGGTTTAATTAGATTTTATGTCACTTAGGAAGGGGCAGACAGGCTTTCTGCATCACTTTTTTTAATATAGTGACATAATAGAACAGCATCACCAAAACATGCAATCTGAAGATTTCGTTTGTCTCACATTATAAAAGCTATGCATCTTTTCAATTATTTAAGAAATACTAAATTGAAATTAATTTTATGTTTTATGAAATTCTGTGATCAACTGCAAATTTGTTGGTAGCTCATCATCTCTTAAAAAACCCCAGCAATTAGAAATCCAGTTCTGTGAACATGAGTGATAGATGCTACTGCATAGCATATAGACAATAATTCATGCTTAACCATTCAACAATACAGTCAGAAGAAACATACTGGCTTTCTTACTTTCAAAACACTTTCAAGTTTTACAGTAGATCTTTTAATTCACAAAAGATTGTAACGGAATGTTAGAATGTAAAGGAATAGGACTGGAAGGGATTTCACTCAGTCAGGGAATTCATACTCCTCCACAAAGACCTCTCCAACTTATTCTTAAAATACCACCTTTCATATAGGTTTAACAACTTTCTTCAGTAGTATATTACAGTCCTTAACTTTCAAAACAGTTAGAAATCTTTTCCACTACCTAACTATAACTTCTGTATTGCAATTAGGTCCAGCAATTCTTGTCCCATTAACCAAGTAGATAAAGCAGAGATTACTCACTTTTCTCTTTGCAACACCTATTTATATATTTGAAGTGCTTTACTATGTCTCCCATTAAATGTTTTTTCTAGAAACCTAACTCTCTTCTTTTTTCAATGTAACTCCTGATTTTTTTAATTCTTCTTCTCTAGATTCTTTCCAATTGATTTACTACTTTTCAGTGCTGTATTCTGGTAAAGGCATTATCAATGCAGAGCAAAAGGAGTATTTTACAAGGCTCACAGGCTGTAATCCTGTTTATAACTCCCAGCTTGCCATTTTGCAACAGCATGACTGCTGATTCAGCTAGTGATTCACCACAACCCTCAGATCTTCTTCTGCAAAATGACTACCTAGCCAATTGTTCCAGAGCCTAGTATTCTTTTCAAGGAATTATTCCAAAGCACAGTATTCTGCATTTATTTTTAGCAAACTTACATATTTCAAATTCTTTTTCCCCCCATTTGTCCAGATCTTTCTGAATCTTAATCCTGTCCTTCACCACACTTGAAACATCTCTTCACTTAATATCATCTTCAAGTCTCCAATTTCCTGAGGTCACTAATGAAAATACCAAGCAGAACTGGACACAGAATAAAACAGTCCTCACCCAGCACAGCCTTCTGTTCTGAAAGGATCTCTCTAGGCATTCACTCACCCAAAAGCAGTTTCATTAGCTCTCGCTTGCCTAACTTGCTTATGAAAATGTCAAATAAAGCAAGTCAGAAGCCTGACTAAGGATAAAGTTCAGGACGTCTGCTGTTTTTCCTTTATCCCCAGGGCTTGTAACCTTCTCCAAGAAGGAAATTAGCTTGATTTTACATGATTTATTCTTGAAAAAATATTTGCTGGCCAGTATTCATCTCCTTTGTTCTTTTCAAACCCAGTGTCTGCAAGCTCTGGATGTACTCTTCCAGTATTTTTCCAGGAACCGAAACTAATTATCTGACTCTTCTTTTTTTCCCACCTCCCTTCTTTAAAAAAGTAAATATTCTCTTTTCTGCTTTTCCAGTCATCCATGTACTCTATGGATGTACTTTGTAACCTGTTCTTTCTCAGTTCCAGAACAATCTTTCCTCCTTCTCACCAGCACTAATTGTGCTAGCCACTGGACTGCAGCTAACCCTTTCAAAGGCAGGCTGATAAAAAGATAAGAATTACAGCTTTTTCAATGTCTCTTTTGTTGATGGTTTTCCCTTCCTTATTCCACTAAAGTACCAAACTAAATCTTTTTTCCTGGTTTTTTTCCCCCTCATTCCCAAAGCATTTACAAAAGTATCTTGTTAGCCCTGACATCTCTTGCTAAGTGTAGATCATATAATGTGTTGCCTTTTTAATTTTGTCCCCACTCACACTGACCCGCTAATTTTTTCAATAAAAAATGCACAGAGTAAATATATGGTGCATTTCTCCTACTACTCTCATTTAAATCTTAACATATTATTTCCTGAGAATTATCATTAGAGGCACAGACAGGCAGTGGGAAGGAGGTGGCAGTATGCCTTGTCCTAGAAATCTGCATAATGTTTTAAAATTAACATTTAATACATCCAATTGTATTATTAAAGGGCCAGACCTGGTCATGCAGAGTAATTGCACAGACTTGTTCTATAATGTAAGTTCAGAGTTGATTGAGGTCATATATATCAGATTTCAGTAGCGTAAGTTGAACATTCACAGACTGCTCAGCTTCAGTATAAAAACAAAAACCCCTTCTAGTCAAAAGGTTTTTAAATTATTATCACCCCTTGTTACAGTCATTACTTTTCTATAAGTCTGCTCAGAACCCTTGTACTTAAATTCACATCAAGTTTTCCAGATTTCAGAAATGAAAGAAAGAGATATCAAAAGTCAGCCTTTCAAACTGTATTAGTATGGAATTACATAGGTTCAAGTGGAAGAACACTTCATTTTGCATTGTTGCACTGGTCACTCCTGCACCACTGTGTAATAGCTATGCATGCAGCATTATTATCAAATTTTTGCTTCATTTTGTATATTTAAGTAGCCTACCTACTAAATTTTCCAAAGCACATAAAAATGACAAAACTAAAAAACATATAAACTTCCAAGTAAAAAAAAAATCCCTTACTTTGTCAATTGATGTTTCTCCTTAACGGAATCTTCCAACACTAGCAAGCATGCCTGAGAAGAAACTAGACATGCTAATAAGCAAATCAAATTCCTAAAAGTAGTATCATGAGTTCATTCAGTTTAACATCTCTTGCCTTAAAAAGGCCCACCAGAGCTATTCTATTTTAATGATATAATAGTACTGTTGAAATCTGTCTTGTCTTTTTCCCCTTACTGTAGTTTTCAAGGCCCCAAAATAACCTGCTCGTTAGCTTCAGTCTAGTTCATTGTTTACACAAATAGGCCAAAATGTACTTCCACTTGCAGAATGAAGCTGAAGCTTTCTGAAGGAACACTATCAGCTGTGCTTACCTATTCAAGTTCTAAACAGAGGGGCATTCATAGAAAATGTCCTTGGATTCTTGTATTTCTTGGCGATAGACAAATGCCTAATTATTCCATTTCTCACCAGCACAAACTAAGTTCTAATTGATTGTAGATGAAGAATTAAAGGTTCCACGAGCTACATGGTCACACAGCTTACTTTTCAATTATGAGCTCTTTTTCAGCTTTTTATACAAACCAAAGGAAAATATTAGATGTAATTTTTGAAAAACAAACATTGTACTTAGATAAAGAATGTGAGAGGTAACAGAAAAAGGCAGGCTGACAATCCCAGAGCATTCAGAGTGATGAAGGGCACAAATGCAAGGCACATTCTCAGGTAATTCAAATAAACTCCAACATGTGCCTTAGTTATATCAGTGAAACTCAGCACAGGATCATAATGACACTATCTAATTTGACAGATTCAAGACATGCTAAATAAACTGAGGCCCAAGATGTCCAAGTAATTTTTTTCAGAATATCTTTCTAACACTATAACAAATTAAGAATCCACTCCTCTATGACACTATCAAGTTGATACTGCAGCTTTAGCATACATAACTACCCTAGAGTTTAGTCTATGGTTTAGTTTGCTAGTTTGAACCTGGAGCTATCATTCTTCAGAAACTCAGAACACATTAAATTTCCCTTCTGAAGATAGGCACAAAATTCATTAATCATTTACAGTGCAAACTCTGCATTGTATTGGAACACCTTCCACACAAAGTGAACATACTGCTTCCTGAAGCACTCCCAGCTCGGCCTGGCAAAGACAGCGAGGTGGGACCAGCTGGGACCAGTGCAACTTTCATGGCGCTCAACTGAAATACAGTGCAATGCACAAACACAAGCTCTCTAAATAGTCTACTAATCATTAAAAAGCATTTGAACACTGTACATGGGAACTTTCATCCCCAGCACCATAGCTGGATGCAAACTCATTCCTCTGATTCTGTAAAAGTCCTGTGTAGTAGTTTCATTCTGAAGAACTGCAAAAGGAGTCAGAACAGCCGTACCATACTGATGTACTTGTTTTACGTAGAGCCTATTGCTCCCCCAATTGTAAAATTGTTCAAATAAGTAACTGAATTGCTAGAAAAACACACTTTGAGATCTTTTGAGACAAAAAAGGGAAAAAAACCCAAAACAAACAAAAAAATTCAGACAAGAGAATGTAGAAATAAAAAGGGTGTTCCTGGATTCTAAAGCCATTTTAAATGTTTTCATAAACAGCATTAAAATAAGAATTTTTATGCCATTAGGAATTTCTTACCTTGGTCTTCCCATTGAACTTTCACAAGTGAGTTCTCTGCTGCTTTTTTCTTGGCACTCTCCTCTTCTTCTTGTGACCACTGCATGTGGTCCCTAAAAAAGGCAGTTGAAGAACCAGCTTTTTCATAGGATTTTCCATAATATTTTTTTTTCCAGGAAAAACAGTATCAAATTAGCTATACTGTCTCAAATACTTCTTTTTTTTTTGAGTGCAATCAAATGACCACAAGGAGACTGACAGGTAAAACCCAAGTTTCAGTGTATGATAGATAAGAATTAATCACCAATTAGGTAAAACTCAAGTGATTCAGAAACATCTTACAACTGCAAAGAGACTGAAGTAGTATGAAGTAAGTAGTTTCCTTAATAACAGGATTAATATATATCTTGTAGATTGAGTGTGTTTATAGGAACGTATTTTGAGTGTCCCATTAGAACCATGTTTAGCTGAATATAATAGACCTACCAACAAACACCTAATGCAAGAAACTTCTCACATTACTAGTGTTTATGATGAAGAACTGAGGTCATTTAGCAAAGAAATCAGCTGTTCCTGAAAGAGGGAGCATAATCCACCTATGCAACTGGAACCAGTGGAATTGATGAACAGGATTTTACTTATTTGGGGAATAGAGACAAGTAACATTTAAAAAAAAGAATGAGACATTCATAAGAAAAGACAAGCAGTGCTACAGTGGTTCCAAAGTTTATGTCCTCTCTATTTGCGTAAAGCGGTTAACCAAATGTTATGTTAATCAATTAAACCGTCACAGAACCAAGCCCAGATCTGACACTGATGACTAAACTGCGTTCCCTGCAGATTCTGTGTTTGGATCAGGCTGCAATGGGAAGCGCCCAAAAATGTGCTGCTGGCTGTTTTTAAAAGCCAATCAGTTGTCCCTCCAAATCATCCAGTCTGAACAGATTAAATTCAATAATATAATTCAAGTAATCTATTAGATCCTAATCCTACTGAAATCAACTAACTGAAAGCCCATGACTAAAATTCCATTGGTTACTATGGGAAAAGAGACAAGGTGCCAACTTGGAAGAGCTGATTGTCTCTAAAAGCTAATGAGCATCTTCCTGTTCTGTACCTGGTGATATATAGGTAATTTAATTCTTAGACCTTCGCTGTTCCTCTTTTGTTAATTGTGGGAGACTAATTGGTATGTATTTGTCTGCTTGCCTCAGACTTGATTTCCGCATCTCTACTGAAATATTTCTCATTATTGTCCCCAGCAGGTTGCCTCTCCCCTTCCTGTATTTGTTCATATGCCAAATGTTCCTGTGCAGTGTCACGGCTCTAACAGACATGCTGCAGTAGAATAAACTGAATGACCAAAAGCATTACTAGGCAGTCATCCTCTTGGAAAGACTTGCTTCCCTCACTGCTATCACCACTTTTGACCTTGCCTATTCCAGCAAGCTGAAACCAAGGACTATTCGGATGGCAAGAATACACAATCAGCCCTTCTGACAGATGACTTGCTGTGGTATAATCTTCAGCTGATCAGTTTTAATCTATCATTGTGTGTCTGTCAGAGCCCTTAAGGGTGCCTGAAGCCCTCCATCTTCAACAGCCTTTTTTTTCCTTCCTCAGAAATTCATAAAGCTGAAGAAGGATCTTTTGGCTCTTTCCTAGAAATTTCTGTATGGTAGATCCCAAACAACATGACTGCAGCAGCACTTCCTGATCAAAATCTACAAAGGAGAAGACATAGCATAGTTCTTATGCAAACTATTTACACAGTTTGGATGCTTCAAATGAGGCAATACAAGCTGGCAGAAATACAGGACACAGGAGAATCCTAAGCACAGAAGTGTTTAAATACAGAAGTGTTTTAAGCTGAACACTGACAGCAGCAAAGCAAGCTATCCATTTTAACCACACCAGGAGCTGTTAACATGAGTAGGCCTGATACAAGATCAAACAATGCTGCTTTTAGTTCAGCTTATTCAACTTAGTCCTTTTCCACTAACTTGTTTGCTAACATAGGGTTTAATTATCTCTGTGATAATGTGAAGACTATGCCAATTACTAACCTGAATAGAAGCAGACATTTTTTGCTCCAATGTTTAACCTTACTCATTAGTTCTCTCTTGAAATGACAGAAAAGCACCACAGCAAACATCTAAAGCATTAGTTCTCAAATTTAATCTGCTTAGTATGTCTAGCAGAATGGTAGCAGCTCTTGGCTCTCTGCCAATTCACACACAGACAAAAAGAATGACAAAGCATGAAGTACCAAAGATGATGAGTGGAAAACAAAAGGATATCATACATCAATGCTAGAGAAGATGAATATCTTATGCTCACCCTGCATAATCTATTCAGCACTACCACCCCTCATCCTAATCCCCCTTATCTCCCTAGTGAGAACCGTGCCAATTCAGTGAGCTTCAGATCCAAGGACCTACATCTCTTCATAGCCAAGTTCTTGATTTATCAAGACCATCACAACTTCCATGCACCTCTGCTTCAACTCAGTTTCACCTGCTTTCCCTTCTGAGCTACACGGATTCATCTGCAGATCCATTTTCTGAACAACGCTGTTCCGTTCACTCTCATTTTCACAATCCATCCCAACCATCTGCATCAGAGTTTGATAACTCTATTAGACTGTCACCAAAGGCTAGCAGGAAAAACTGAAGCTACACATGATCAGTTTTTTGGAGGGAAATTAAAAAAAAAAAAACAACAAACAACCAGAAAAATAATCCCAAAACTGAATTTCATTGAGATACAATGTTACAGAAAAAGGATGTCCTTTTCCTAAAAGATCTTTTCCTATCTTGATTACATAGTATACATTTAAATCAGCATTTACACAGGTAAAGGATTTTAACATCTAGCAGAAAGCACTCAGCCTGGAATATGTCAAAGAACTACACTGCTTATAGATTTATGAAACACAGGTTAACTTTACACTCTTAACACAATAATCAGCCAGCTTCCAGCTTTCTTGACCAAGGAATGTATGGAAGTACAGTTAACTCCAAATTTGGCCTTAAAATGGTAAGTGTTGGGGACCATGGCTTGGGGACACCTAGTTTAGAAAACACTAATAGGTAACAGATCTAGTTAACTAATCAGTTAAGTCCAAATTTAGAGACTAAAAAGAGTAACAAAGATGCTAGTTCATTAACCAGAGGACAATTTTCTGTGTCATATTCTTAAGACCTTTTTATTAATCAGAATTTGATTAGATAATCTTTTGAAATAATTTAGATTAAAAAGCAAAGTGGACCAATGAACAAATAAAATGGACTACTAAAAAGAATAGTAATTAAAAAAAAAACCAAACAGCAAGTTGAAACTTCATTTCAGAACACAACCTTGTCGAGGAACTTCTCTGACAGCTGACAGCAGAGGACACCTCTGAGGAAACTATAAGAACTGTAGATTAGTTCTATGAAGTAAGCTTAAGGCCTGAAACTTGTTATCTGTTACTTCTATGTTACGTTACCCATTGGTTATTATTAGCCACTTCCAGTCTCTTTTTCCAATATTGCTAAATCCTTGCTATCAAAAATAGTGACACAATTCAAAACTACATTCAAAATTTATGTAGAAAGTAATTTCTTGTATAGCTTCTAAATTCACCACTTTTCATCAAATATTCCTTGGTTTTAAGTTATGAACTATAGGAAGAAAAATTCCTGGTTTCCCCAATATGTTAGGCAGATATTCTTCTACTTTCTAAACAGATTTAGATATTCTTCTATCCTCCTAACACTTCCTGTATCACTTGCTGTTTTGTATTCACCTCCATTCCACAGCAAAAAATCTTAGCCTTTTTAGTCTAATTTTTCCCCCTGTGTTGACCAGCATTCTCCCTCTTTTCCGAGCACCCATTAAATACAAAAATACCTTTTAGAGATGGGGATGCACTGTTGCAAATCAGGACAATTCTTCTGGTTAACATCTACACATTGATGTCTTCTCTGCTGTTATATCGCTTATTTATGTTAAGATTCAATTTACTTTTTTTGATAATTGCACACTGTATGGAAATCTCTGCTACAGAATGATCTGTAACATCTTCAGTACACCTTTAGAAGAATACAAGTAATTCACATGTTCCTTTCAAAGTGGTGTCAGTTTTAGACTAGGTCGCTAATCCAGGACGCAACATCCTTGTACCTAACAAGTAACCTTCTGCCATTATAAATAATATGGACTATCTTATTGCTACACTTTCTGTCTCTTAATTAATTACTGATGCATAACAATATTTTGCATTTCATTCCTTGACTAACTATGTACTCAGCAGCTTTTTACAGAAGTCATTGAGAACTTTTAACAGTCAGATTACTTGTGACAATCTCAAGTTTTCTCTAATGCTCCCTTTACATGTCTTTACTGGCAGTACCTTGTTTTTTATACACACACACACACACATCATTATTCATCATAGTAAACAGTATACAAAATTATATGAAAATCAGCCTTGAAAAAACATCTCACCACATGTTATGCTCAAAGACCTTAGAAGGATCAGTTAAAATCCGTGATCCAAGTGGAGCAGTTGGTCGTCTATTACTTTGGTGCCTGTGTTGCATCTTGCTTTTCCTCAGACATAAAGCAGAAAGCCTTGTAATGAAATTCATTTTGTTCAGAGACCTGAAAACACATTTAACTCAAATTACAATTTTGCTGTAACTTAATTGTTTATGTCGCTTACATGAGAAACGGGTCAAATAACCAAGCACCAGTATCGGCTCTAGTAATAATAATCTACTACAGTTCAATTTAAATGCCTTTCGGAATAGCAACATCCCTTCAGTGCGCTGAAAACCCAAATAATCACAAAGTAGGCTGGAATGAAACCAACTGAAGGACAAATTATTTGGTATCATTTCAAAGTCCTATCAGGCAGGGGAAAGAAAAGCAATGTACGGTAAAACAATAATCCAAGTCTGATATTGCACCTTGACCAAGACAAGCAAGAAATGATCAGTAAAGAAACCACTTGTTCTAGTGGGTACATTCTGTCACCAAGACTGACTTTTTCACCCCACTCATCATCTTCAAAAGATTTCATTCTAGATCTGTGACTCTGGTTTTATGCCTTTAAATAGGAAATGAAAGATTTTTATTTTTAGAGTGTAAACATTATGCACCTGAAAGCCTTCCAAAATTTCTGATACCTATGTAATGCCCTCTTTGAAATGAATGGTCCTAAATGTTAAATTTCTATGCAAATTATATAATTTTCAATGCAAATTATAAAGTGATTGAAATTTTTCTATTACATGTATAATTCTGTCTTATACATCTATATTTTACTTTACTTGAAATTTCTTCATACAACATCAAGAAAGTCCAAGTAATGAAAGATAACAAGTGTGTGTATCTCATACCAGCATTTTTTCTTGGGTTTTTATTTTCTTCGTTTGTTTTTTTTTGCATATTCTCATTAATGTAGGCTTTTTATGAGATGAATAAAATGAAATACACCTCCTAATACTACTTTTATCCTGATGTGCCTTTGTTCTTTTTTCCTTCAAATGCATGCTTTGTGTGACTTTAAAAATTATTCTTAGCCCTACTTTTTTTTTTCTTCTTTTTTTTTTTTGGAGTGCTGTTTCTGTAAAAACCACACATACAAGTTTAATGCACTGGAAATACAAAATGCAGTTACAAAAGAACAGGCACAAGAAAACATTGTGTGCAAATTGGTTACAAAAAGATTTTTATCTTGCGGAAAATAGTACTATTTGATCACAAATCTTGTATTGTGAATCAAAAATTATTAATTTGTACACATCACTACAAAAACTGGCAAAGGAATTACTAATTAAATGAACAACTACTCATTTAAGGTGTACTTTTGAATGAGTCATGCTTTAAAAAGGGCATTGTTTATTCACTTAAGCCTACAGAAAAACAAAAGGAAAAAAGATTAAAATTTCTTTTTATTTGTGAAAGATTAAATAAAATGAAGTTTACCTTATGGCTGTCAATGCCAAATAAAATTGTTGTTAATTTTGGTTAATAAGACTGCAATGTTACCAGGATATGGGGCCACTGCCATACAGTGAAAATATATCATGTTGTCCTATTAAAAAAATCAGAATTTCTAATGTTAGCAAGTTTATAATGGCTTTTTTTTCTCAAATGTGGCTCAGCAACTAAAACAATTCCAGTTTATACTTCAATTACTACAAATTGTTTATGCTTTGTATTTGAAAATACGTATGCATTTTTCATAACACAATGCATAACTTAACATATATGGGATATAATAATTATTATGAGACATGAAAATTAAGACATTATGACAATTTCTGCAAAATGTGTAATTTACATAAAGGGAATGTTCTTGAAAACAAAAACAAATAGAAAATCCTTCAAAACCCCAAACCACAATCTGATCTAAAATTATTATTATTAAATTACAGTAATGCCTGGATAAAGATTCCATTATTACAATGCAAACTGTTTACAAATCCTCTTCCTTCTTCAATCATTCGAAAAGATCTGAGTTAGTATCTTGCATTTCCTGTGCCAGCATTGATATTCACCATAAAATATGATTCAGCTGCTAGGCTAGTCACATAATTTTTTTTGGCTTTCTAAACATCTCAATAAGAACATGAAAAGATGCACAGATGGCAGTTATAGTCAGATGACTAAGATGATCTTGCATCAGTAAAATCCAGATATGAAACTCTTTCTATGAAAATGTAATCCTTTGAGTGGTAAGTGAACAATTTTAGCTGATAAATTCTGGAAAAAGCAAAGAGAGTGAGGTAGGTGTGGAATTTAAATTTACTGTTGCATCCAGTGTTAAATGTGAATGAACCCCTTGGAGACATGCATGTGTATCCCTGAGAATTAAAAGTGATCCACAGATCATGAGATAAGTGGACAACCTGGCTACTAAAAGTTGAAAAAGCATCTAAATTACTTGGAAACCTAAATAACATTTTCAGAAGCAAGTCCTTGCTCAGTTGTTTCTCTAAGTGATTTTTGTTAATGAAACATGCAAACACCCTTTGTCAGGTAACATGATCATACCCTGAAGTCACGACAGCAAGAAATGTCTGAAAGAATTAGGAGTTATTTCCTTGTTCAGAGGCACAGTCAGGAATAGTTTAAGTTTTATTATTAATCAAAGCAATTCAACCTTCATCTTTAAAGAAATTAACACTAAACTGAATTACATTAAAAATGGCTAAATTTTGTGGCAGCATAGCTATTTTTCAGAAAAAGAAAAACTTTAAAGAAGCAATGCAATTGATAACCATGCTGAAAAGCAACATGGAAGACTTTTTTTCCCTGTGGAGTACTGCCTTTTATCCTTTATAATTTTGTCATTGTTACAAGTATAGATCAGTTTAGTTGAGAAATTTTAAGAAACAGCCTTAAAACTCCTCCTCTCCTCAAACCAGCTAACACAGCACTTTTAGCAATACTTTTTGAAAGTGGACATGCAGAAGAATGAATACACATCAAATGCAAGCTAGACCTGAAAGAATACATTTTTAATTGATGTTGCCATTAAAACTTTGAGCAGTCACACCCACAGAGACAAAAATAAAGATACAGGAGAAAGGAACTGTTTTAATGTTTTTTAATGGCGGATTACACCCCAAAACATATGTAAACCACTTAATTGATGAGTAAAATCCTTTAAAAGTATCAGTTCTGAGGGAGATGTCAGTGAAAAAAAAACAAATCAAAAAGAACAGAAATAACCTTTTATTTCTGTCCAAGAAGCTAATTTAATGAACTTACTAGATGAAAATATTTTGACATTTGACTGATCTCCAATTACAAATATAACAACTTTTTCCATGTCCAATCACTAAGCCAACTTGTAGAGTCTCTGTTATAAAGAAAAAAACAGCCTATATTAGGAACAGTATGTGCAGCTTATGTTACATTCCTGGACAGAAAAGTATTCTGGAAACAATTAACTTCATACAGTCCCTTTTGCTTGGCACCTAGAAGTTATCTAGACATTTGACCATTAATCCCCAACACTCTCCTGTAAAGCACAGCTGATCTATTTTATCACCATCAAACACTACGAAAACTCAAAACACCTTACACAAAACAGATGCAAGTGACAATCATGGACACAAAGGAAAAAAATTTTCAAGATAATGGTAACACAGAAAGTATAACTATGAATTACCAGTGGCTATTTTTAAAATACATACATATTAATATTTCTTAATATTTCAAATCCAGAGGGATGGGGGCGACTACTGTCAACCAGACTCATTCATCAACTGAATGCTTACTGCTATTCTATTCTACCAAGTGACTAATCATGCCCTCTTGAGGTTTCATGATTAGTTTTTCAATTATATGCTTCCAAAAAAATATGCGCATTTGAAACAATAGGATATTTCACAACTTTTCAAACTCAGCAGATCTAAAATTTTCAACTGTTTTTCTTCCTCGTGCATAATAACCAGGAATGATGAAGACCTCCCTGTGGGCATACAGCAACTTCAGTAAAACTGCTGCAGAGCACTGACTCCCAAGGAGAAGAGAAAAACAAAAGAAAAATTATTTTGATTTATTCTGACTTCTATACAGAAAACACAGTTAACACTGGTTAAAAAGCAAAGCAGATAAAAACAAACAAATCAATGCCACCACATATGATTTTAATCACATGTACACAAATATTGAGTGAGAAATGCCTGTTCTTACACCAGCTGCCAGGTAGCCCGTCAAATATAGTCGAGGAAAGAGAAAATAGTTTCTACAATGGTAGAGGGAGAGAGAGAACGGGAGATAAACTCTGCTGATGTTCTGAAAACATTTACTTGAATCACAGAAGAGTTACCCGTTACCCTGCACACCCTCTGCTGGCTGCTGCTTACACAGGAAGGAGGAAAAAGAAGAGAAAGAAAAGGAGTTGTGGTGACTTTGTGTCACCACATATACATGCACAGTGAAGATGCATCTAAACCTCCAAATGCAATCACTTAAACTGTTTTTAATCCTATTTTCTACGAAATATCGAACATTTAACTGTACTGTCTAACAAAAGATGATTTGTCTCAACACAAACGATGTTCTCCTTCTATTAAAGATGATGAGAATTGGGATAGAGCAACGTGAATTTTACTACTGTCTACAATTTATTTTGAAGCACTTCATTCACTAACATTCCTGCAAGACTCTGGGTGTCCATATGGACTTGGCTTAGCTGCAACCTGCCCTGTCAGCTCTGAAGTCACTGGCAGTGTTGCAGATCCACTGGGCAGGATGCACTTACTTGTCTCACCCAGGTCTTTGAAGGAGCAACTGCAACCACCGTGTTTGTGTGTTTAACTCACTTCATCAAATAACTGTAAAGCACCAGAAAATTAAAGGCCTCTCTCTTTGCTTACAGTATCAGTGAAGATTAAAGGTTTCACTCAGAGACCCTGAAGAACAGACACGGACAAAACAAAACACACAAAATATCAGCAACTTCCGCATTACCCCATGTGGCCGCCCGGCCTCTGGCAAGCAAGGGAAAGAAGTTTTTCCGCAGACTTCAGCTGCTCTGCCGGCAAGTACTGACTGATAATTGTGACAACTTTTGGAATGTAGCTCTAAAAATACACAATTGAAGCGTCATCCATCTTAAGGAGTTGCTGTTGACCTTGGAGTCTTAAACAGGGTTAAACAAATCCCTTAACATTTCCAACCTTCCCCCAAGTCCCGGTACGCTCCATCCCACCCCGCCGTACCCAAAAGGGGTGGTGGCCGGTGCCACCGGCCCGCAGGTGCCAGCCCGGCCGGGGCAGAGCTCCCGGGGCAGCTCGGCGGCTCTCCCCGACCCCCGCGCAGCGCCTCCCTCCTGCCCGCTCCTCCGAGCGGTGCCTGGCCGACGCCGCAGCGCTGCCGACTCGGGAGCGGCCCCGCTCCGCCACCCAGGCGCGGGGACCAGCCGGCCCCGGCAGCGGCTGCGGGGCCCGGGGAGCCGCGGCGGGAGGTGAAGTCCGGGCGCGCCGCGCGATTCCGCCCCTGAAAACTACAGTACCCGGCGGGCCACGGGGAGGCGACGGCGGCGCAGGGCTGTTCGTGCCTGCTTTGCGGGAACTCGGCGCTGTGGCGGCGGGGGAAGCGCGGGGAGCGGAGCCCCGTAGGGAGGCCTCGGTGTGCGTCTCTCGGGAGTCAAGGAGCAAGAGGCCGCTCGAGCCTTTCCCCGCTTCGCTTCACCTCTCGCGGGGCTTTGAGAGAAACCCGGGGCGGGCCCGGGCCCAGCAAGGCTGCGCGACCCTCCAAGCGCCAGGCTGGAGCGGGGCAGGAAGGCGAGCCGGGAGCGGGGCAGGAAGGCGGTGCCCCCCCGCCGGCCGGGAATGTGCCCGCAGGCGGCCCCCGGCCGAGTCAGGGCCGCCCCCCGCGCGCCCGGCCCTCACAACGTTTGCCGCGTCCTCGCCCGCAGGGCCCACGGCTTCTATGCCAGGGATGCTGGTGTCGCCCACAGGAAAAACCTGGGACTCCTCAGGAAGATCATGTGTCAGGTAATAGCGGGGCGTTTCGGCGCTGGCTGAATCCCTGCGGGTACTGGCTTTCAGTCGGGGGGACTGAGTGTCAGTGCTTAGCCCAGGTGTTTGAGAAGTCCCTGGTCACGCTGACGAACAAGTTTGGGGAAAAAAAAATCTGCAGTTTTTCTGAGGAGAGTTAGAAATGGTTACATTTACTTCTCGAGTCTCAGACCTAGAAATGTAGAGACGATTATGCTGTGCAAAAACTGCAGAAGCACCTGTAAATCTAATAATTGTGTTATAAATAAGCTTTTGTGAGACTTTATAGCACTTATTTCCCTAAAGTGGCTTCATATTTAATACCAGTATTAAATTCATAGTGCTTAAGAGAGCATCAACGTTAAACTTGAAAGGAGTTCTCACAACTAAGTAAGCTAGTCAGCAGAGTTCTTCAGGTAAACATAACCCTAACCAATCAGTGAATTGATGGTATAATAAAAAAAGGAATTAAACCAATTAGAAACTGAACTCTTTTTTTAATCAGAATGATTACTGCTCCCATGCAGTAGTTGATAGGAATACATTGGAAGTGGAAGGGAATTGGCAGTTATGTTATACTGAAAATACGCTGATTGGAAGTCAGCTGAAGTGTGTTCTAATGTAATTAGATCAATGGGCATGCAAAGTTTATTGAAATAAAAATAGGTACATTTGACCTACACTTTTTTTTTGCAAGACTAGAACCTTTGTTAATGGTATAAAGCTACTGATACCTATAATGCATGCAAGAAACTTTTATGGAAGCAGTTTATTCCATTAACATTTCAGGCACTTTTTGCAAATAACTGCAAACACATTTTTCTACCTTTCACACCAAACACGGCCGGCAAAATGGAATTAGATGTTCAATAAATACAATTAATTCTATATAAAAGAATTCTATGCATATTTAAACTCTGGGGAGTTTAGTTCTTGATTTCAAAAGTCACCATGAAAGTTTAGTTGCCAGCTTCAATGCAGGTGAGATAATGACAGAACATTCCTCACCCATGCTGTCCATTATAGGTAATAAAAAATCTTTTAATTCGGTTAAAAAAAAAAAAAGACAATTTTTCCTTAAGAAAAGTCTTTTAATTTGGTTTAAAAAAATCAAATAAGAATCTCTCTTATATTTTCAACTACAAAGTTTCAATTCATGTAAGTTGTTAAGCTGCAGGAACCAAATAAAATATTTTCCAGAAGCAAAGTTTGTTACAAAAGCCATCCTTATTACAACTACTGTGTTTCAGGAAAGTACTAAATTCAAGAACGTTTGGACAACTCATTCTGCATCTCCTATTGCATATGAAAGAGGAAGAATATACATGGATAATTACCAGTGCTGTATTAGCAGGTAATAAATTTACAATTACAAGGCACCCTGACAGTTTTGAGACTGTGATTCTGTGTTAGACATGTTGCTAACTTTACTCATTCAAATAGCTGCTGTGAATTGAGTGGAATTTACCTAGGAACAAGAAATAACCAGGAGCATAAATCTCTGTTGAATTACATTTAGATGCCCTTGTATTTTAATGTGACACTTGCTTTGATAAAAGAAAGTCTGATCTTACTGGTGCTGTATTAACTTCAGCTTTCAGAGTTCTTTAATAAGAGTGGAAGATTATCACCATTTTATAATCTGGCACTGAAAAGCCAAATGAACAGTAGTTCTCTGTAATCTGGTAACTAGCAGTGTACTAAAGAGTGTGTCCCAAAATCAGGCAATGTAACAAGCCTCATGTCTATGAATTCTGTATAAAATAGGTAAATTATTTTTCATGTGAAAGTACAGCATGCAGAGCATGTGCTGGTTTTTGCTAATTTATTTTGCAGATCAATTCTCTGATCTGATGTACTCTCTTATTCCATCATCAGTTGCAGAAGCACAGGTTAGGAGGCAGCATATGGCAGGGTAGAGGACGGGAAATCTGTGTACACCAGCCCTTCTCCTTGCCCGTCCCTCCTGTGAGGGAAGTAGCATGGTCTTGGAGAACTGCATTGCTGAGTAAGTTGTGGTCAGAGCAGTTTTGAGACATAGAAGTCGTATGATACATAGAAGACAAATTACTCTGTCAGTGTAAACCACTGAGAGTTAATTAAATTAATCTATCACTTGCAGCTGAGATCTAAATCTACTTCTATTCCTGCGTTGTCTGAATGCTTTCAGTACTGGGTTAACCTGTCTAACATCTTTCAGGTTTATCTTTGTCTCATCCTCTTCCAGAGGGGAAAACTATGCACAGTACAAAGCTTTCATTTTAGTTAGTAGGGTTTGTTTAAAAATATCTGAACCTTTATGTTATGAAAGGCAACACTGGAAGAACTGGAGGGGAAGGTTCCAGGATGATCGTTAGTTTCTGAAATATGCTTTCTTTTTAATGTATATCACTAAAGGAAGAATGTTACTATTAAGTTTGTTACTAAAAGAAAACAAAAACAAACCCAAAACAAACAAACAACCCCCCTACCCAAACCATAACACCAAACCAGAAGATATAGAGAAGGTTAGCTTTTAAATGTCACATTATATTAACTATTGTTTATTAGGCCTTATTTTGAGAGAAATTTCATTTATATTTACAGAGTAAAAATAAGACGTTTAGATTTCTGATCTGCCTAAGGAAAAGGCAGGATTTATAAGACTGTATGAAATGACTTGTTGATAGAATGTGGTCTACAAAACAGAATAATGATTATCCATCATTTTCCTCTAGCATTGCACAAGCCCCAAGAATACTTTATCAAAAGTCAAAGTGTGCTAAGTCAGAAAAAATAGAAGATGCTTTATTATTGGAATGCCCACTGGTAAGATTATTTTTTACTCGAGCATTGTTGTGCAAAGTAGTAAATGAATATATTTCAGTGAAATATGTTTAGAATAGAGCACTCTTTCCCTGCAAACTACTTTCTCAATGTTTTATGGAGTTAGGTCATTAAAGGTTTGCAACGTGTGCTGATTTATATTAACTGAACATTTAGAGGTATACTTCTCTGCATTTCTCAGTAGTGCATTCAAATGCTTTTTTGGTAAGTGTTCATGGAAGATTTTATGCCTTTATGCTTATGCAACTAACTCTTAATTCCTTACAAAATAGATTCTGTTTATATTTTTCTTTATTTTTTAAATAGCAAGGACAGTAGCTGGGAGTTTTAGTTTTCACCAGATCTGTTCACATTAAAAAAACGAAAAAGCAGATGCACTGAAGGCCCATTGAAGCAACTCTGCCCAAAATCTGTTCTGCTGTTTCTAATTAATATATTATATAATTTCTCTCCCCCACAAGAAGTTTTTCTCCCATCCAGTGTCCACAGATCTTAGAAATATTAGGCCGATCCTTGAGGTGCATAAAAATGAAGCAGTGTAAATACTTTTCTTAGCAGTTACTGTTGAGTTACCATTGAATGTCTTATTTTGCAATACTTCAACAATTTTCTCTTCAAGACTGGTATCAAATAGATCAATAAGCAGTTACACTTAATTTTTTGCAAGGCAAGGAAGTTTTAAAAGATGTCTTTTCTAGAAAAGGTAACTGTCTTGCAAAAAGTGTGACAACAGATTATTTATGTGATAGATGATTATTTGGCATGGACATGATCTTAGAGATATTGATGCCATTAGCAGGCTGATTTTCCTCGTTTAGCTTTTGAGGAATGTGTATCAAGTTTTGTGTTCTTCTGACTGTGTCCAGATGTTATGTATCCTCCTGGTACAAATATTTTTCTAATAATTTTTTTTTATGCAGGGGGAAATGTTACCAAGTCCCTCAGATTATAAAGCTTCCCTGATAGTCTTGACGGTGCAGAACTGGCTTCTACGTCTCTCTGCTGATAGTGGAGAAGTACTGGAAAAAATATACCTTGCTGGTTCCTGTTGCAAGTCCTTCAGGTATTAAACAACAACTAGGCTTTATATAATTAACAGTCATTAGTATTATAGTGGAGAAGGGAAGTCATGTTTATTTTAGTACCATCCTGTGGCTGACTACAGGTTTGTTAGTCTAGAACGTTACCTGGAGTATTGCTTCTGCATGCTCTTACCTGTAGAAGAATTTTATCAACTTAAGTATTATAGTCTTAAATTTGGTATCAGGTTCCACAAAACCTATGCTACTATTTGCTTTTCTCTGACAACTTTACAGCCTTTAATATTGCAATGGCAACATACCAGGAAAGGACCTTTAAGAGCCGTAGAACAAACCTCAACAAACGTACAAAAAATACATTTAAATTTTGAGCTGTTTTGAACTTGCTAACATTCTTCTCCATTTTGCTCTTTTAAAGCAGAGCAGTTACTGCTTCTGGTAAACTGCTGCTTTTTTTTCAGTTCTCGGAAGAAATTACTTCCTTTAGGCTGAAGGATAAGAAGGCGGTGATTATGAAAGGAAGGAGAAAAACTAAGATGGGAAGTGTTCGTGCTTTCCAAATTTTTCTCACAATCCTGTATGAAATAAGCCATCCCTACTTCTGTGGGTTCTGCACTATTGCAAACAGCAAACATCTTGAGCACCTCTTTCGAATCAAATACTGAAGTTTGCCTGGGCATAGGCATCTGCATAGTTACAGTAGATTACATTTTATGTGAAGTAATATATTTACTAATGAATGGGTTTTTAAGTGATTAAGATAGGCCTTTCTTGTCACAAATAGGTATCTGAGCTGGGATACTCCTCAAGAGGTAATGGTTGTAAAGACAATTCAGAATAAGCTCCCTGCAGCAGCACGGCAGGTATGTTTGTTGAAAAACCATCAATTTTACAATATTGATCAAAAAAATGTACAAGTACAAAGATGGAGACATTATAATTTGTTATTATGGCAGAAGATCAAGGTGTCCTACCATTAATAACTATATTCAATATTGTTCTTTTCCAGGCAGGAATACAACAGTCTGTATTGTTTTATCTTGCTGTATTCCAAGTTTTACCTCTTTCTTTCATTGGAATGCTAGAAATAAACAAAAAGGTAAGTTAATTTCTCCATTAAAGTTGATCCGTACTGTAGTTCTATGACAGTTCTAGTTTAGGCACTTGTTTCAGAATTTCAGAAGCCATACTTACAGCTTGTAAAAGCAGCTGAAACATTAATTAGCAACAGTGTTCTTGTGTCTGATAGGGGCGCTGGGGGCAAGATTCTTAATTCTAATGACCGGAAGAGAAAATGCAAATGCATTCTGTTATTGGGTTACTCTTTGACATGTAGAAGGACTTTAGCCTTTATTTAGAGCAATCGTAAGAATCAGGAAATCCTAAAGTAGACTTCTTTTCACCTCTTTAACGAAAGACAGATGGGCCTCTGACCCAGTCCTAGTAATAGTCTATGAATTCTATACAGTTACAAATTTTTCAAACTTCTGTTATCACTGTTAATGGATAACAAATGTAAATATGTCTTGATTTACCAGTCAAGAGCAAACAACCTTTCTGAGTTCAGTTTGCAACCTGTAAGTAAGAATCTGTATACTGGGAAGCCTAGAGGTAGATGGCAAGTTTTACTGTTCTATTTCAAACCAAGAAAACCCTGGATACAACTTACAAATGGAACTGTAAAAACATGCAAACTCTCTCTTCAAGGTTCTGTGAGGTACAGTCTCGTTTAGGGTCCAGAGCTATGAGTGAGTTTTAGTTCGTGCTAGGTTGGGTTGAGGCTGTAATCGGGACTGGGCTAGCAAGAGAAGGTGTGGGGTTAAACTTTTTCATTTGGGCCCATGAAAGTTTGGGGGCATTGTGTATTGTTCTGCTAGTATTTAGGACTGGAAAAAATATTACCAGTATCAAAGGTATGTCAATCTGGTTAGGAATGACATGCCAGATTCATCACGGTCATAGTAGGCAAAACATCTGGAAGAGTAATGCTTCGGCTGTGTCCGTGCCAAGTACTCACCAGAGAAATTGTTACAACTGGGAATAATGGCAAGGCAGAATTTGGGATGTGAGAATACACCCAGCAGTAGAAGCAACCAGTGAATGCAATGCCAAGCCTGATATAACTACTAGATTATATTAGATTAGGGTTACTGTTTAACACTGCAGAATGCATCTCATGCATCAGCCTTACTGAAATGTTACTCAGTAAATTCTGAATTCAGAGTGGCTAAGGTCTCAAAGATACAAAGTAGACTTCAGAGTTGGAAGACTATTAAGGTTTGTGTCTGGAAGACACTGGGACCTAAGCTAACAAATGTATTGAAAGAGCCATAAGTCTAAATAAAAGGCAAAGTCTCAGGATTGAATATATCTTTCAGAACCAAACAGACCACAAGATCACTGATAGTGTTAAGATGTAGGAGTTTTGCAGCTTTTGGGTTTCTTTATATTTTTTAATTGTTTTTAAGCCTGTTTTAACTGGTTTTATTGCTTTTTTCACATAGTGAGTCAGATTAAAGAAATGAAAACTACATTTCCAAGCATACCTATTGGAAAAATTACAAACATCACATGTTGTTATTCATTAAATATGAAGAATTAGTTTGTGGGGGTTTCTCAGTGATGTGTTAAACAGTGGCACAAATGAATACTGCATAATTATTAAAAGCTTCTCATGTTGTGTCTAATTTGGATTCAGAGAGGATCCTGTACTCTGTGACAGCTGGATAATGTAGTTTTGGTACAGCTGTACAAAGAGCTGTGATTAGACTAGTATTTTACCCTGGTGATAAAGAAAGAAGATCTGAAATCAGGACTTGTAGATTGAGTTGCTAGTTCTGCTAACATTCTTGTGACATACTGGATAATATAATCTATTCATGTATGATAATATCAGGGTAACATGGTATAAAGATATACTGAGAACTGATTAGGGAATGAATCTGCTTGCAGATTATGACTAATCTAACCTTAGGTGTTACAGCAGTGCAAAGTATTCCAGAAACTCAGCAGGACAGATAAATTACAGAAAACTTCATGAACTTAAAACACTGATCATAGGGTTTGATCAGAATAAAAAATGAAAGTGATTGCAAAATTAAGGACATAATGTCACTGTTTTGCATTGTCTCAATTATTTCTTCTCTAATAGAATGCATTTTGCTTCCTTTTATTCCAGATATTTGGTAATAGTGTGACAGATGTTGCTGTTTCTAATGGAATCCTGATTGTAATGTATAGTGTGGGTCTGGTCAGACTCTATAACTTCAAGGCCATTTTGGAACAGGTAATGAAATACATAAGTTTTCATACAGTGCGTGCTATTTTGGGGCAACAAGTCATAAATATTCACATAATGCTGCATAGGTACATGGGGATTGTGTCAAAGGATAGAGTTCCTGCCTAAATTTATTTACAGTCAGAAGATGTAAATGGATACACTATCAGAAAATTCTGCCTGCACTAGTTACAGGTGGCAAAACATGGGGGAGTCAGACAGGCACTTCAGAGGAGTTATGTAAACGTTAGACCAGATGTGCTCCTCTTTACACACCTAGCCTGTAGCTTTAGATGATTGTTAAGGCCAAAAACTGGTGGGTGTGGAAGATATATCTCAAACAGAACTGCAGGGAGCCTTTGGAGTTTATATCCTTCCAATCAAAAATCGAACGTTGATTCAAAAATAAGACCTCGAGCAGTATCTAACAGGATAAAGAATGCAGTAGCAATGGAGCAGTAAAACTAAACAGTAAGTAAATATGCATCAATAAAGCTAAATTGTTGTGTGTTCTTTTAGTTCATGGAACAGCCGTTTGATTTGGGACAAGAATTCAACTGGAATGGTCAGGTGGGAGTTGTAGGAAAGTATCCATTTGGTCTTCCATGTAACATTAAAATAACAGGTAATTATGATCTTTGTATTATCTTGGCTGGTGGCTTTTATGATTTAATTATTACTTATTTCACACCAAGAAAATTAAAGCTATTGTGCTTATATTGTGCCATAGCTATATTTCTGGATTTACATTATAGTAAAAGTGTGGTTTGCTTTAGTTGTAATTACAATTATAATTATATAAGACTACCTAGAAAACTATTACAGCAACTAAGCTATCTGAAAAACTTCATAAGCAATGCATGAAATGGAAACTTCTTCCTCATTTCTGAGACACAACTGCTCTTGGGAAAGAGGAAGGGCTAGGATAGCTGCTAGTAGCACCCAGAAACAGTACATGGTATGTAAGCAAACATGTGAGAACATTTAATCTAATTTGCAGAGGAAATTTAAGAAAACTGAATACAATTTGTCTGACTTGCATTTTGGTAATTCTAGGTTGTCAGAAATGTGCCAGTTTCAGTAAAATTAGTTCCTGAGAACAAATTATTAAAAACAATTCTTATGCCTTAAATCATTAACTTAAAAATGTTCTGCTTTGTGTAATGACTATAATTTCTCTGAAATCAGACAGTGATTTCTGTTGGTGCATTTAAGATTAGAATTTGGTGCTAAGATTCTTAATGAGTGACCGAAGACTGACACTTTCTTTGAAACAAAAATACATTCTCACAAGTTCACACTCAAGGCACTTGCAAAGAAAAAAAGAAGTAAAGAAAGAAAAAAAAAGTTGGTTTCACAAATATCAAAGAATGCATTCTTTTAGTTCTTTAATTTTGAAGGTTTTTCTATTTAATGTTTTTTACAGGTGATTGTCCACATAAAAAATGCTTTTGATCTTTATATTCTTCAACTGTCAGATAATAAGAAACAAACCATCCAGATTTACATAAAAATGAGGGAATACATACAATACAGACTTACATAGTAAAGGCTTTCAGTTAAAATGCAATGTTTTATCAACACAAAGTAATAGGTTGCTATAATTGATGTCTCAGTTTCTGCAAAGGGAAATTTTTCCTCTTTTTTCTCTCTCTCAGTCTGCGAAACCACCATTTAATATTATGGGCCCTGTGGAAAACACGCTTATAGATCATTGTAGTTTTTAGTTTTGAGATTTAAAACCAGTGTACTGGCAAAACCATTTTTGATCTTGAATTCTATGCAAGAGCTTGTGGAAGTTTTGAACTCATGACACACATTTGCCATGGCTGCTCTTTGCAGATACTTGTATCTCTGTGGGTTTCGAGTTGTTTTCTTCTAAGAGCAAGATGGCCAAATGCTTCAGTGAGCAAGATCTTAAGATCTTATTTCAGAGTTTAGGCTTGTATTTACTATAACTTAATTGTGTGTCATCTTCCTTCTTATTTAGTCCTAGCCTCCCTACAGAAATTGCCTGAAGGGATGGCCATTATTACAGTACTGTTTTTGTGGTGTGAGATACCCAAAAAGAAGTGTATAGAGATCAAAATTATGTACTTGCCACTTCATTTACACCTGTTAACTGGTGAGGAATTTGATTTTGGTCACAGTGGAAGGAATGGAAAAGTACCTATAAATCTTCATTATGTAACTTCTAAAGGTCCAGAACTTAAAACTAGTTTGATTTATTTTTAGAGGATACAGTAATTTCATAAGAAAACAAGGAAGAAGATACTTTGTAGATTTTTTTTTTTAGAGCAAATACTTATTAGTGCTGCCATGAACTACTTTATGACTTTATTTTAGATGAGTGTGGAAAGTTTTAAGGAAGTGAACAAAGAAGCTCAACTGGAGATTGAAAACTGGCAAGACTTGGGAAGGAACTTGCAAACAATAAAACGGGTGTTAAGCAACGAGAGCGAGGGACACACAGCAGGAGAGTTGAGGCAGCAGAGTGACATTATCACAGTGGTTTAAGTGGCTATGATCTTGCAAATCTTTGCCAAATGAACATAAAAAGAAAGGCATATTTTATCAACAGTCTATACTGCTCAGGATTGATATACTACTTAATTGTACCATACATATACATATTTAATTGTATCATTTAGTCCATCTACCAGAATTTTTGAGGAACCTTGCTAGATATTTTATTTTAAAAGTTGGTAGGACTAAATGTTAACAAATTTTCTTAACTCATTTTTCATTTTCTGACTGATTTTAATATCAGTAGGTCCTCTGCTTATGCTTCCATCTTCAATATTCTCTACATTTTCAGCAGATGCCTGAGTTTTTTATAACTTTGTTATATCTTGCACAGAATCTCCCATTTCCTATATGTTAGTCCAAAAGACAGCTAGACAACTAGCCACTTTCCAGCTCAGGAAAGACTTCATTTCCATTGGCAGTGAACTAATTCCATTCGATCTATATGCTGGACACATGAACAAAGGAAGAAGAGAGAAGTGAGAAGCACTCTGTAAACACAGTATCTCATGTCATGTGACATCTCAGCACCGTTGGCTAGAACCTGGATAATTATCTAGACTAAGCAGGATAAGAACAAGTCTAAATTTGGATAAAACCTTTGGCACACAGGAGTCCAGATAAGAACATTGCTCTCCTCACAGTAATTCAGTTTGTGTTTTTATACTCTGCCAGTTTAAATGCCTCTTGAAACTGCAGATTTTCTCCACATTTTGTCAGTTTTTTTCCCCAGCTTTTCTTTGTATTGTTAGAAAGAACTGATCTTCAGTCTAAAATTGATTCAGTTATGGCAGCTGTAGAAATGGCTTTAATTTAGCTCGTTGTCAGAAGTTGTAAAGTTCTGTGTGGTCCATTTCGTTCAAAGATGCTTCTCTCATTTACTAAACAGAAGACTTGTAAGAATGGCATATTACATCTCTATAATTTATCCCAACTGAACTGAAAAGGAAAACTAAAAAAACATTAATTACAAAAATTTCCATATTTTTATTGATTATAGATTGCATTCATTGTGGTTCACACTATTTTGTTGTATTACACAAAAGGAGAAAGAATATTCAGATTCTGCATTTAATGCTGTTATTTGAGACTGCTGCCTGCTGTTTCCAGCTATTTATGGCTATTTTTCCCAAGAGAATATTGACCCTTTTGATATGGTCTTTTGATCTGTTCATGTGTACATCCTTTCTCAGTCAGATGAACTGGATTAATTTTAATTATTTGCTATGTCTTTGCTCATCCAGCTCATTTGGAGTGAAGTAAATCAAAGGTATTAGAAGAGCAGTTCAGCATCAAGGTCTGAGAAGGCAGTAACCCTCCACAGGGAGCTGCAGATTTGTGCTTGGACGTTAGCTGAGGTAGCATAGCTGGTGCTGGAAAAAAGTTCACAGCCAATGCACTTCCACCAGTCTTCAAAAGTTCTGAACAATTAGTAGCTTTACTGGAATTTAGAATTGTAAGGATCAATGGAATTATGATTGTTCTGCTACTAATGGTGTTAACATTACCGAATGTTTGCAGATACCCCACCTTTGCTATTTGAAGCATCTTCTCTGGAGAATGCATTTCAAATTGGAGGTTACCCTTGGCATTATATCATCACACCTAACAAGAAAAAACATAAAGGAGTCTTCCATATTTGTTCTCTGAAAGACAATACTTTGGTAATATATTCAGATAGCAGCTTCTCTGAAATTAATGTGTATCATGTCTGTCTTCATCTCTTATTCTGAGTAGCATTTGAGGTAATAATACCCTTGTTTTCCAATGTGGTGCTTTTGCAGGGATCACCCCAGAGTATCAAATCAGCTATCCCATGGAGTCATGTGTAAAATGTTTCCTTCTGAATTAGTACTGCTTCTCATATTTCCTTCATTCCAATGTAATAGTGGCACTGTCAGGTCTACACAGCAAACTGTACACAGCAAACTGTAACATCTTAATGCACTTCTGCATAGTCAGCCTACCAAATGCTGACTAAAGAATTATTTTAAATTTTAAGAAATTGCAGAATAAATTTCCTTAATGTTTGTAGTTTATTTTTGATTTTTGCCTTCTGAATCTCCCTAGAAAGACTTCATTGCTCAGTTTAATCCCTCTCTGTCCCTAGAAAGGTTTTATGACTCAGTATAATCTATTCCTAATTATTTTTATGTATTGTTCTTCAGATATTCTTTTGTGTGAGCTCTCTATCTCGGCTTTTATTTTTAACCTGGAGTTGACCTGAAGATTCTGTAATACAAGCAGCTTCTAGGCCTGTTCAGAGTTCTTGACTAAATAAGTCTCATCTGTAGATGTCCTTATCTCTTTTGCTAGCCTGATCAAATCAATGATTTCCCCTCCTATGTCTTATTTTCAAAACTGTTGTTTCACAACTCTAGCTGAAGATCAATTTTGATTAAAATGGACATGTACAATCCTTTCTTATCTGTTTTTTTCTATGTGGGTTCATATGTTTGAAAATTTGAATGATCAATGTCAGCTAAATTTACCAACAAAAAGCTACTGCCAGAGTCCCAAGGTTTTAACCAGCTTGCATCTGATTGCTGAAATCACGAGCTGTCCCAGGCTTACATGCTCCACAAATAATTTGCACAAAAGAGGCTAAGCCTGAGGTTTGAAGCTCAAGTCAAACTTTGTGCTAATGTTTGTCTCATGTCTTGACACATCCCATGTCTTGGGTATTCAGATTGCTGAAATTGTTGATGTGTTTGCAGAGTGTAGGCTAATCTTCATTTTGCTTAGTTTCAGGAGAGAAAGGACTATATATAGCTAAGATACAAGGTCATTGCTTATTGCATATTAAAAATGTTAAAACTGTTCCATGGAATGTCTTGAGAATTGGAACTGAGTCTTTTTATTATTGTTGTTATTATTATTGTTCCACTGCCATCCTTTCTGGTCATGATTAGGAGCAATACTTAAAAAACCTTCAGAGGTATGTAGTGAGGAGCTCAGTATTTCCTCTTTAATTAGGTCTGTGAGACTTTCAAAATACTAATATTCCTTTTCTTCTTCAGGCAAAAAATGGCATACAGGATATGAAATGCTGTTCACTTGAACCTGACTGGATATATTTCCATCCAGATATGTCAGGTAGAATAATCCACGTGGGACCAAATTTGATAAAGTATGAGCTTCTTTTTTTTTTCAAATCTTATTTTCATCAGAGCAGAGGTTGCATAACTGCACAAATTCAGTAGTTTGACAGTTTGCAGGCCCAAGCACTCATTAAACTATAGAAACTGTAAAATGTCTTAAATTTGTCAGAAGTTCTGGTAGAAACATCTGCAGATTTCTATGTGATGAATGTGGGCACTGGAGGCCAGAGTCTAGATTTTTATATGAAAAATGTTCAAGGACCACTGTGTTAAAATGTCATTGATAAACATAAATTACAAAAATAATTGATTTCCATTACACTTATTTCTGATGTTTTTATGTACACAATTTAAAAAGATTATATAGAAGTGTTGTGGTAGGCAGATTAGAATACGTGACTGACTTTGTAATTTCTGTTTCTTTTGTAGAGTCTTGAAGCTTAAGGAAGTTAAAAATCGTACAGATCAGATGGAGATTGCAGAAGATTTTACGATTGTAGCCAACAGAGAAAACTGTGTGAGTTTAGTGTCTGAGATCACAATGTATGATTTTGAGCAATACACGGGAGTTTTGCATATGAGTAATCACTGTGTTTTATGGGCTCAATTCAAGGTTTATTGAAAGACATTCTGTGTCGTCATCAGAGTTTAAAAAAATTTTTGAAAACAGTAACATTTTCAGGATAGATTTCTAAAACCTCCAGTCTTTAGTTTTCAGCATTCTTTATGGTGTGCAGTATCACATGTATCATGGATATAAAACATACTTAATAGATGATAACAGATTTCCTTCAAATGAAGGCACCACGAAGTGATAATTGTGTGCCTCTCTGGTGCTCAGGTAAGTTGATCATCATGGCTGGGCTTCGCGAACGAAGATTTGGGAAGGCTCTATCCACATTTGCTACAGGCACGCTGGTGGCTTATGAGGCCAATACGTGACAGACATATCCGATTGCAAAAGGCATACAAATGCTAGAAATGTTTCAAGTCCCTCATAACTTAGGGGTAGGTCTTCATAAGACAACAAAGACAATACGTTGCTTCCAAAAGTCTGTTTCTTTTCCTGGCCGTGCACACCTGTCACTCTCTTGTGACAGGTTTGGCATTCAGCTAACTCTTGGTGAGCCAAATCAGTGCACTACAATAGAAAAGGTGAGTGCTTGTCTGCTTGCTTGGTGAGCTGAACTGGAGCAGAACAGAACTGAATCATCAGTGGATCAGAAGAGTGCAGAAAGGTAGAATCAAGTGGTGAGGAGATGATCTAAACCTACTGGTAGGACTGAGCTCTTAAATCACCTCAGTTGTTTTGTGAAGTCTTTTGTGATGTGAAATCACAAAGACAATCTAACATCAAAAAGGTTAAAGAGCACACTCATGAAGAAAATTTTTTTATAATGGCTGGAACCGTCATTTTGCTTCAGCAGACAAGGTTATGTCTTACCTACTAGCAGGTTTTTAGTTTGAGTACTGTAAGATGCCTGGAAACCGGTCATACTAAAATTTTGAACCTTTTGCAGAAAAAGGTTTGTGTATTGAAAATCTACACAAACTCAGGAGTAAATCTTCCACTGAATTCAGGAACTGAAAGCTAGGTCATCTAATGACTTGCCATACTGGTTTTTTAGGGTTTGTTTGGGTAACTTCTGTTACAGTAAGAACAAAGAAATATGAGTTTTAATCCTGTTTGTGCTGTGCCTATTCCTTTTGACTTCCATTGTGACATTGATAACCCAGTTTTGAATGTTTCTTGTGGTAAAGAAGCCCAGTGGAAGCAGCCGTGGTGGTTTAAGATGCTACTTTTCCCATCTTCTGCAACTAAGAGTTTAAGAAGCAAGCTGATGGTGACTTTGCTGTGTCAATTCTCATTACAGCATCTTAGTTTCAGACACTTCTGTTCTAAAAATTATGGTAGCTGAGAACCTTTGCCACCTCTACAGGACGTCCTGAGAACTTCTGAATATGAGTAAATATCAATAATACCTCAATTAAAGTCACTGAGTTCATGAAGCCTCATAAAGAAGCCATAAGCAGCACGAGGGTGATGCACAGCTAACGAGTGAAACAAGGTCTGAGAGATTAAAACAAGCTCAGAAAGCAAAATATAGGAAATTGTCAAAAAGATGGACACTAAAATGCTCTGAAGTCTAGAGACACTTCTCTATGTTTCTCCAAAGGTGAACAACACTGTTACTGTAACAGCTTCTGGTCGAGTGGTGAAAAAGCGTTTTAACTTGCTGGATGATGACCCAGAACAAGAGGTAACTGATGCAGTGAGTAAGACCACTTCATGGATTATTTTAGATGGTTAGCTATCCAGAAGTCATTCTTGTTTCAGGTGCAGTGGGTATAACCATTAGCTATGTACGTCTTTGAGTTCTTTATTCCTCTTCTGTGTCTGTCTTCTCAACTTCTAATTGCTTCAAATGCTCTGTCATCTTTTCTTCTTAGTTGACATTTGAGCTATGGATTTTCTCTTTCTTGCAAGAACTGCTCTTATGCCCCACGATACCATCATAACTCCATGTGACTTCAGTGGCAAAGAAAGGAGATATTAATGTGACAAACCATTACTCTTTTCTCCATTCAAATATCTCCTTTAAATGTTTCTTACAAAGCATTTTATGAAATGAAAGAAATTTTTTTTTCTCTGCTTTAGGTTCCTCTTGTCTTTGATGTAATATCTCTAAACTGCATTTTCCTTTCCCAGTTACTTTGATTAGATTGCAGGAAAAGGTATTTAACACTTTTCCTTTAAGTAACTGCTTCTTGAGAATGAAAACGCCACATGCCTTGGTGTTGAGTCTTCAAGAGGTTGTGAAAAATATTTTTTAGCTCTCTGTCTAGAGCTGAAGCTGTAATTGTCATAAGCGCAACAGTTAAAATGCATCAGTTTCTGGCAGTCACTTCTTTTTTTCTGAGAGAATACGGTAAAACTACAGCACAGTCCAATATAACCCTTAAGGGTCTGCAGTTCATTTCTATCCACTTTTTCTTTTAACCATAATAAAAATAGTCTACACACTCTTTTTTTCCCCTGCTGTTACACTTTACTTGGGATTCCAGTAGATGTTTTTACATTATGGAAGAAAAAGACTGGCGTGAATTTAAAGAGTGTGTCACAGTGAAATAAAGGCAATTAAGTTAGTTCACAGTCTTTACATTTTGGTCTCAGTTCTTCACTGACACACTCTGTGGAGCAAGAGAGAGCTCTGAACAGAACATAGAAATATTCATGTGAATGGAATTACCCTAATATACTCATCCTCTCAAAACCAGTAAAGGTTTTAAGCTACACTGTCTCTACCATGTCTGCATCAAGAGCTTAACTATATTTCTTCTGCCACTTTAGAAGTACCTTTTTTCTATATCCTGTATGTTATATATAAAAATACATCTACTTGCATATTAGGATTCTTCAGAATATCACTTTATTTTCTCCTGCTTAAGGAATTTCACTGAAATACACTGGACAACTTGTGTTGGGAAAGATGCCTGTTGGGTATCAGTGTCCCAAAGTTTTCTTTGTCACACCAGAAGACTTAAGAACTAGAATTTTTCCAATTCTGCTTTCACCAGAAAGAAAAAAGAGCTATTCAATTTAGGTGGAGGGGAATGTGAATTTACGTTTGATTTCTAAACTTGAGGTTTTGTTTTTCCTAAGACATTCAAAATCGTGGATTATGAAGATGAACTGGATTTATTATCCACTGTGGCAGTTACTCAGATAGGAGCTGATGGAAGAGCTCACCTCGATTTTCATTGTAATGAACATGGGATTCTCCTTAAGAGTATTCCATTCCGGGAGTCCTGGGATGTGGTGAGGAAAATTCCTGTCTTTTGTTCACACTGTCTCTTCCCTATACTCGTTTACCTGCCATTTTTGTTCAGATTTGAAGCAAATACATAAATAGTGTTGCCAAAGGATGAGATTTGTATAAAATAATAATTACAAACTCTAAAATTGTAAGTATTCCATCAGACAGTAGCTCATTTATCTGAAAATCTCCATTATTTGAAATTATTATTCTTTTTGTTTGTTGATTTGTTTGGGTTTTTTGGTTGGGGAAAGGGCTGTCCTTATGTATTTCTGAAGTATTTATCAACTTAAATACTCACCCTATGGCTAGTTTCATCAGATTAACTTTACAACTTGTAAATAATTTCACTATTTTAGCTTGAACTACTCATGCGTAGAATTAAGCATGGACCTCCCTGTGTGTGTATTTGGAGAGATGGAATGGGCTGTTCATACAGTCCAAGTTTAGGTGGACATCCAACTTAGATGGTCTGAAATTTTCAGCACCTTTGCACCTCTTTTATCATTGACTGCATAGGCAACTTGGTATCTTAAATCAGATGCATCTAATTGCAGTTAGATGCCTAAAATAGGTATGTGAGAAACCTCTCAAAGTTTTAAAATGCTGTCCTTTATCTGGAAGGGCAATCTCTGTGTATCCCCACAAAAATCCTGCCTGATCATGGAGGTCACCAATGTTAAATATTTTTTTGTTCCTCATGGAAAATGGTATGGATATTAACAAGTTGTGGAAACAGAGACTACAATCCAAATTTTTTTTTCTCATTTCAGACTTACAGTCATGAAGTTTACTTCGACAAAGACCTTGTATTACATATAGAACAGAAGCCTAACAGGAGATTCAGTTGTTACGTTTACCAAATGGTCTGTGATACTGCAAAAGATGATTAATGTTCAAGCCATGAAAAAACAGAAAGTGTTTTGTAAAAAAGGAGGGAGAACTTTTGAATATATTTAAACCATAACAACTACAGAGACTTCAGTTTGGATGTTATTTAAGGACTCCATACATAGAGAGTAGTCAGCTACTGTTTTTCTGGCAGGATTTAATCGTAACATTTTGTACTGCTACAAGAGGTTTGGGGTTCTTTTTTCTTTGTAACACTGTACACTTGCCTGTAGTCCATAATGGCTCTTCATGTATTCACCAGTTCATTAATGCTAGGTGCAGCATTTATTGCTTCTCTTGAGCAATAGGATTGAAATACTGGACATCAAGGAAAAAGATGTGGACTTACTGATTATCTGCCATCTGCCGTGATCTGTCTTACATAGTTTTACCTATGCAACTCTAATATAGACTGTCAATTAAACAAAGTATATAAAACTGTCTAGGATAAATTTTATATGTAGCATGAAAATTGCAGTGTTACCATTAAACCACTTAGACAAAAACCTTCTCTTGCTTTTGTGTGAGAAATAAAATCAAGCAGGTTTTCTGGTTGTGTATGTGTTGGTTTAAAGAGAAATATTAATGATGTGGTTTACTGTCTTTTTAATATATATTTTTACAGATACATATAGCAGTTCTCTGGTTCTCCCTGTGCCAAGGGTCAGGAGTTGTCAGGAGTCTGAGCCAAAGCTCCCAGCTGCTCACCCTGATCACTGCGTGCATCCTGCCTGATGCATGGGAGTGCCATGTGGTATATTCAGAATCTGCAGAGTGTGGGCTTTCATTTTAAATTAAAAAGCACCCACAACAAAACTCAGGCTGTAGACTTCATGGTGATAAAGAGTGTTTCCAAATGCAAGCCAAAGATGGGCTCAAGAGAATAGCTCTTGGAGGGCATGACCAACATCTAATTTTTCACTACCACCACCATCATCATGACTGTGGTAATTCTAAATGGAAATATTCTTTTTACTCCAAGCTTAACTAATTAAGCATGGATCATTCTAGAAGATGCAATAGGGAAGAGCTCTAGAAGAATGATAAAAATTTTCTATTTTGAGTTTTTAGAAAAAGTGTAATGCAAGAGAAGAAGTGAACTACAATTGTGGAAAGAAAAAACAACAAGAAATGGACATTTATGAAGATAATGAAACAGCAGTAGTAATAAAGGGCAGCAGCAACACCTAATTTCCACCCTGGCTTCCATAAATTTTCGCTTAGTGTCCAGGAAAGAACACCTGTCCATTACCTGCTATTTTATAAGTAACTACATAACTAATATATGAAGGTAATGAGTCTATAAGGCAGAAGACCCAAATCTCAAGCAGTTACTTAAGATGCGTTTTATGCTCATTTCTGTTTGGGTTATTGAAGCAGTTCCTCCTAGAAAAAGACATTTAAACTTCATTGTTTATTAAATTTCAAGGGTTTGCTATGCTTCCCAGTGGCTTATTCTTAAATTAGTACAGACTTCTGAATTGATATTCTGGTAAATCTGTAAATGTACATCAGTATCCAAAAATGCAGCAATTTGTAATGACCAAAAGGCAGCCCAGACTTTGATGAAGATTGTGGGATCTCAGGTAAGAAATTCTATCACTCTAAACACTCGCCGTGTTGCTGCACTGCAGATAATGGCAGATGTTCCATCCTGGAAGATCACACATAGACATTTTCATTCAGAAACAGGAGTATTTTGCTTTAAAACACCTTGAAAGCTATTTAAGAATAAAGAATCCCCAGTAATTAGGCCTGAGCACTTCTGTCTTCACACCCTACTAATGGGCTGGAACACACCAAAGAAACAGAATCAAGCTGTGAGTTGCCTTCTGTACCTATGCAGAGACCCAGAAAATTCTAAAAATAAACTTCTGTTTAAATGGGAGGAAAATCCTGACCACAACCCAGTAGTTAAAAAAATAACTGTATCTAAACCAAATAAAAATACCTGCATGCTTGGTAGCAGCTCACTTGAATCAGCTGCTTTTACTTGAAGTTACATTTTTAAACTCATCCACCAGAAAAAACCTACTTTGCCAGGAGACTTCATATGTAGGCATTTTTGGTCACTGTTGCTGGCAGGGGTGTACTGTTGTGCAGTGTCAAATTGATAATTTGAATTAATGCATTAGATCTGACTTGTAGACCTATATTTTGATGTCCATTTATGATGATTCTAGAGCACTTAGGTTTCTCTTTTTCATAATGTAAATTATATGCTTGGAAATCTCCTACACAATCTGAATAATTCAGTGTGCTAAAGAGTAACAGTGTTTGTAAAGTGGAAAAGTTCTGAGGAAACCCATGTGGTTACCATTACAGAGGAAAAAATATTCTTGTGCACATGCCCAGCATAATTATCTGCAAACACCAAAATGTGACATTAGTATAAGAAAAGAGGGGAAAAAAAAGCTTTGAAAAAACAGAAGTAACTTTTTCAAATGTAGTTTTATTTCCCATTTCTAAATTCAGAAATTAACATTAATAAAATAGAGAGTAAAATTTTCTTCTCATAGGCAGTAGCTTAATGATTAAGAAACCCATTTACCGATAGTTTTTTGTTTTACCAAAGTCAGACTAAGGAACTATTGGCATGAAATTGTGAGTTCCCTTACTTCCTGTGTATTTCAGAGGGTGCTTAGCACTCATGCCATGGCTTCCAGAGTCTGCAGATAAAGCCTCAATTAATTATTTCAAATGCAATCTCAAGTGTATATTTAATAAAAGATCAAAGCTGAAAAGTTCATGCTTCTATTATTTTCACTAGCACTAGGTGCACAAGGAGAAGACTATATATATATAGAGAGAGAGAGATGTAAATATATATGTGAAATGTTAATGTGAATAAAGACTCAAATGTGTATTTCAAACATAGAGTTGAAGGGATCTTACTCACTTTTGCCAGTTAGGTGATTTCACCCAAACTTTCTGCGTTTTCAGTGTGGAGAAATGTTTCTTTATTCTTTTGTTTGTTTGTTTCTGGATACGTCCAGTTACTTTAGCAGCACAGTTTCTTGCTCATTTTATTCCCATTTTGTATTTTATTTTCCTTTTGTTATTGAGAAAAATACCATTTATATTACTTAACGTTAACTGAAGACTGCCAAAAACTCACCAGCAAGAGATTTGTTTTCCTTATGGAGCTGTAACAGCTATCCCACATGATGGAACAACTAAGAAATGAATTTGCTTCCCAGTTATGATAAAGATTGTTAATAGGAATACCTGCTAGAAAGGACATCTGCATAGGGCGGCATGTAGGCTGTTTCCTGAAAGAACAGTTGGGAGGAACTGCTGTCAGCTCTCAAAGCAAGATCTCTGGGCACTCTGCCTGCAAATGGCAAAATGTTGGTCTAGGAAGTAAAAAGATCATGAACTAGTGAATTCACGTTGGATTTCAAGTAGCGTTGTATGATACGAGCTTTTTGCTGTTGCCAGAATGAACAAAATCTAAATGATAAGAGAAAAAAAGGGGAAAAGGTAGTAAAAATGTGGTTTTCTAAGTCTGAACCACAAAAGAACATGGAACAGCAATTGAGTTCTTTCCTGACTGCCAAGTATTGCTACAGCCACAGTACAAAACTTTTAAAGAGCTTTTTTTTCCTGGAAGATGTGTGAATTGATCTGATATGTATGTTGCAATGGCTCACCAATAATAATTGCATTGAATCAACATGATTTCAGGTGTCTCTGATACACAGACTGATATGTTATGAGTACTAAAAGAAGGAAACAACAATTCCAGTATTTAAATCAGTTAGAGATATTTAAGGGAACATATTTTTTTGCAGCTATTTCACAATCTTAGATTTTCAGAGAGGATCACTTGAAGCTCTCTGGTTGCTACACTTGGCATTTATGGAATTATAACTTTAGTATTCATTTCTGCTTTACTGAAGTTACAAACTGATGACCCAAATAACCTTCAGGAGCTCCAAAACAATTTTGTGTCAGTGCATTCTAATGTTTATAGATTGAACAAATTTAAAGTAGTTAAAGCGTTTTCTTTGGCTAACAAAAGATTACATGAACTGCAAAAATAGGCTGGGTTTCTTTTTTTTAATAAAAAGAACTAGGTATCCTAGCTGAGTGAAGAATTACAATGATGCAATTGTTAAGAACTGCTTGGTATAGCTTAATAACTCGTTTAGTAAACTGGGAGTACAAATGCCTTGTTCCTGCCTGTGTGGAGAAGGAAATTGAGTTCTTGGGAATATATTTTTAAGGAAGAGTAAGTGCACATTCTTCTCAGGAAGAGAAAAAGGAAGCATGGAATGTGAATCTAAAATTCACTGGTATTACTCCACTGAGTGGTTAAAGAGCTCTGGCTTACTTGAGATGCTGCAGGAGAAGAAATACATTCCACATGATAGGACTGCAGGCTCTCCAGACAGCCCCCAGTGAGAGCTGTTTGCCAGCAGACAAACAGGAAAATTATTCTGTGAACATGTTTACTTGGATGTTCCACATTTAGACTCATACACGAGCAGTCTTCCTGATTATATCTGAAGTTAGTCTCAACCTTGGGTATGTAATGTGTGTGTTGGCTGCCTCTAACATGTACCTTGCAGCACGGTCGCAGCACATTTGCATGCTCTGGGGCATTGGAGATCTAGTAAACTGAATGTTGACACCACGCTTTTCCTAGTTTAGCCCTTTATAATGCCACTGCCCTTCTTTGTGCTGCCTGGAAGCTGGCTTGATTTTATGACTGTCTTAGAAACATTTTGGTTTGTGGACTAAAGCAGCCTACTTCCAGCATTTCTACTTCAACAAAATCAGTTGAAGTCAGTAACAATAAGGTTGAGTGCCTGTGGATCAAAATCAGGGGGAAGGCCAACAAGGCTGACGTGCTGGTGGGAGTCTGTTACAGACCACCCAACCAGGATGATGAGGGTGATGAATTATTCTACAAGCAGCTGGCGGATGTCTCAAAATCGCCAGCCCTCATTCTTGTGGGTGACTTTAACCTTCCGGATGTCTTCTGGAAACTCCACGCAGTGGAGAAGAGGCAGTCTAGGAGATTCCTAGAGCATATAGAAGATAATTTCCTGCTCCAGCTGGTAAATGAGCCTATCAGGGATGGGGCCCCACTAGACCTTCTGTTCACAAACAGAGAGGGACTGGTGGGAGATGTGGTGGTTGGAGGCCGTCTGGGGCACAGTGACCATGAAATAATAGTTTTCAATACTCAGGGATGCAAGGAGGGCCATCAATAAAACCTCTACGCTGGACTTCCGCAGGGCAGATTTCGACCTATTGAGAAGACTGGTTCAGAGGGTACCTTGGGAAACAGCCCTTGAAAACAAAGGGGTCCAGGAGGGATGGACATGCTTCAAGAAGGAAGTCTTGAAAGGACAGGAGCAGGCTGTCCCAGTGTGCTGAAAGGCAAGGTGGCAGGGAAGACAACTGGTCTGGTTGAACAGGGAGATTTTGAAGGAAATTAGGGTAAAGAAGAGAGCCTACCAATTATGGAAAAACGGGCTGGCTACTCGGGAAGAGTTTAGGAATATAGTTAGGTCATGTAGAAAGAAATTTAGAGAGACAAAGGCACGAC